TTGTACCAGGAGCAGAATTTTTTGCTGCTCAGCCAGGGTGGTTCAGACTGACTTTCAGTGGCAGTCCAAAGCATTTAAATGAAGGTATTATTATTTTTTAAATTACATTATGTGATAATAAACCTTTATTTACATATGAACAGAATATAGTGAATATGAAGAGATTATGGGTATATCTGTATATACCACTTGTGATCACAAGCTTATGGTAAATGTAATAATAAATCATACTCTGATGATTGTTGTCTTAAATTTCATACATATGATTGCTTTTTTAAATTCATTTTCTCATTGTTGAATATGTAGTAGAAAAGGGAATTATTTCAAGTGCAGGCATGCTTACATAAATGAATTAAAATATACTAACAAATGTTTAAATTTATTTAATGCATTTTCTGTAAGGCTGAATATTAAAAAATGAAAAGAAGAAATTCAGCTAGGGCTAAGAAAGATATGTGTAAAAAAGATTATTGTTAGAATTTAATGAAGGCTACGCTTGCATTTTCTGATGCATAAATTGAAGTTTTATGCCAAAAAATATTTTGTAAGAAGTGGTATATACTAAGTACAAAATATCATAGTGACTTTTATGTATGTGATCTAACAAAGTTAATCATTATATTGAATTAAAGTGATTAATTATATACAAGGTGTTTCATATGGAATGGGACAAAATGAAAGCATACCAGTGAATGTTGTAGTTATTTTTTGATAAATCAAATTTACATTGAAACTATAGTTATCCAAGTCTCTGTAGTTGTTCAATGTGTACCCCTCCGATGACACGGCAAATATCTATGCGGTATTCCAGTTCCTGCCACGCCTGTGATAAAATATCCTTTGTTTTTAAGCACTTCATTTATCCACTACTTCAGTTGTTGTAAGTCCTGGGGAAATGGAGGCTTTTGAACACTTTGTCTTTATAACAAAACCCCATAGGAAAAAATCACAAGGAGTTAGATCTGGGGATCCCAGTGGCCATAAAAGCAATGGCATACCATTTGACCCAACGTGGCCAATCCAACGATAGGGTAGACTATCATTCAGGTACTAGTTTACATTTTTATGTAATGGAGTACCATCTTGCTGCAGTATGAAGGCCAGAAGTGCGTCCTCCAACTGAGGGAACAACTGCTATGATAACATATCTTAGTAAATGCACCTGTTAATTGATTTTTTCCATGAAGATAAAAGGGCCAAAAACATGACGTTGGAAATGGTGCAGAAAAGAAAACATTCACCTTTGGAGAATCACGCTCATGTTCCATTACACCATGTGGATTTTTCATGCTTCAAAATCATAAATTATGGCAATTTGCCAGAAATGTGAAAAATGGCTTCATCAGTAAACACAGGTCTTTGCAAAACCATCTACCTCCAGCTTATTTTGCAAATTCTCACAGAAAGCTTCACACAATGGTTTGTTGGACCCTTCAGGGTGCATGGCCAGGATTGTAGACATTTTTGTAACACATGCCACACTATTACACGAGACATATTGAGTTCAGAACTTACATGATATCTTCATCTAGTGGGACTCTGTAAAAACATTTCATGAACTTTTTCAACCACTTCAGTTTTGGCTGCAGTTTGTCCTGAGCAGGTTTTCGTACACAAGCAGCCCGTGTCTTGAAACGGCTTCACTCACGATTTGATATTGTGATGTTACAATGGTTGGGTGCAAAAATATCTTTGAACGAAGATAAATGATTACATTTTGGCATATTCTAAAACGCAGTATAGGTGACACCATTTTGATAATCAGTGAAAACGATTTCATAACCAGAAGATTTTTTGCTGTTGCCAGACAAAACTTTAAGTTTAAATATTAATTTGTTTTGGCTTAATAAATCAATTACACAATTTGTACCATGCTATTTCCTTTTTGTCCCATTCGGTATGAAATATCCTGTATTTATTATTCCAAATCAGATAGCAAAGAAAAAATTATTTTTACTTGCAAAAATGAAAAGAAATTGCTATTTTATGAATTTTATGAAGAATAAAAAATTAATGGCAGACCACTATGCTGTTGAAATATTTTAAAAACAAATTTGTGCAAATAAATATTTTTTAATTGACTTTGAATTATAGACACAGTTCATTAAATTCAATCATCATCATCTCAAAATAATTCATTTTTATCTTCTGCTATATCCTTACGTATTTCCTTTTCATAGATCAACTAAACCAAACTAAACAGTCCCCTTACAATCTTTAACATTCAAAAGCATTCATATGACAATTTTCTCAAAAGCCACTTTTCCCGAGCATCTTCAAATTTTGGTCTGTATGGCATTTGCCTCATTTTGAGGTATATTTTGATTTTCTAATACATTTTCATTTTTTCTTTTGCTCTTGGGTAATTTTTTTCTATATAGCAAATATCCTATATGCTGCACATTGAGGATAAGTTTATATGTTTGGATATAACTAAATTTAATTGATGTTTGTGTTCTATACTGCATCAAATTGTATGCCAAAAAATATGGTGGTCAGAATTTCCCATTTTATCTTCATACTGCATTTTGATAAATTATTATTTTTTATGTGCTTTTAAATCTTTGTAGGATTAAATCGTCTTGAGAATGCCATTAAGAACTATAAGCAATTGGATTTATAGTCAAACATCTTGTAATTTGCTGCATTATCTCTCAAACATGGAAGAGGAAATACTGCTGACTGCATGAAATAACAGCTATAAGAATTTACAATCAGAATTTTGGGGTTGCCAAAGGTATTTTTATAATTTAGTCTGTTTTGTATTATGAATTTTAGTCTTTAATCCACATTCCTACATTGTGCGAATGATTTAAAATATTGTATTTGTTATTTTAATATATAACTTTTTTAATATCTGAAAAATATTTTGAACTAAATCTGAATATTTTATGATGTCTTAATTATTTTATGAGTGTTTTTTTTTAATAATTTTGTTTCGATTAAAAAAAAAAAGCCACACTCAAGTATTTTGATACACAAATTTTTTAATGTTAAAATTTTAATTAGATTTAATCCAGTTTTAAGATAATATACATGTAAAGAAGTCTATCAGATTTTAAATATGTACCATTAACTTTTAAAAATATCATGCATGCATTAGGAAAAATCATGTTTAACTCAATTCTTACTCTTACTTAGTACGTAATATTTTGAGAAATAAACTCAATTCGTCAAATTGCAACATAATGATTAAAAACTATCTGACATTAATACATAATTAAAGAGACAACTAAGATTTTTCTTGTTCCTAACATTTTAGACTATTTTGCATCAACAAATGTGACCAGATGTTTTCGAACTAAGGCATTCGGTATTAGGTTATGTCTTCTCCACTTACCACAAACTCCTGGGATGAAAGACATTAAAACAGTCTGTCTTTTTAGATTTATTTTACAGCTTAATATTTCTGGTTCTGGAATTCTGGGTTATTTTTGAATATTAAATAATTAATAATATTGAATTAGTATACAAAAAGTGTTGTTACAGCAATTTTACAGAAGGGAAAGTCAAAGGCTTCCCAAACAAGATGTGTCTTTGTGTCTTTCTCCAACAGCATTTTTCAGACAAAAGTCACATTTTTCTTCTCTTGCAAAACAAGAAACTGGTACACCGCAGGCATGTAGTAGCTGGAAGAGCTGTCCCCTCCCCCCAATGAGAAAAGGAAATGCTCTAAAATGTGCACACACATTATTTGTCACACTGGCCAAGGCAGAATTTCATTAATGAAGGTTGTGACAACATATTTGATTTCCTCCATTGCAGCAGCTGTACAGAATTTGTATGCTAGCAAGCATTTTTACTTATATGTTTTCATATATGGGACAAAAGTCATGAATAGGTTTTTCGTCAGTTGATATTTTTTGACAGTACAATACCTTAGCAGAATTTTATTTCATTTATTAATTTATCTGTTATTCTTCCTTTCCCAGAAAAAAGTTTATCATCATTTAATTTTACTTTTGACTTATGTAGCCATGTTCCCTTTAGCTTTTGAATGTGGCTGATACATTAAATTTGTTCTGTATTTACTGAATCATGTGGTTTACAGTCGCATATATTTGCAAAAGTTTTTGGCATCACCCTCACTAGTGTAAGAGATACATTTTATAGTTTTCTTTTCTACCAAGCATGAAAAGGACAGCACTTGTGTATTGATTACTTTACCATCTTTGGCTCTAATTATGGAAGAAGCTCTTACCAAAGATGTATGTCATGGAGTCTTTCATGAATCATCATCACTTAGTCACATCGAGTGAAGAATTCCTTCAGTCTGTTTTGCTTTTCTCATTGCCTTTTCAACAGTTTCTGAAGTTGCACACTTTAAAGAAATGTAATAGAATTATTTTGGGTTGCAGTTAGGCTAGATATTACCTGTCCATTACTAAAAACGGAACAGATTAATTCCAAGAAACACAGTAGAAAGTTGGTGCACTGTATTCTGGTCTTGCAGGTATAGTTATATTATATAATATGTACAGCTGCTCATTTGGATGTAAAAATATACAGTACTAGCCAGATAATTTTCTCGAAGAATAGAAGAATGCCTTGAAATTAAAATTAGATAAAAATTCGCCCTTAGATTGATGCTAATTGTGCAAGAAAAAATAAAGCATTATGGAGAACCATTATCAAATTCCCTTGAAATGAGTTTTTTAAGGGGGGGGGATAAAACCAACATCAAATTGCATGTTGACTTTTTCTAATTTTATATTGTTTTGTGTGTTATTTTGATATTAGTGACTTACTATATCATAATACCAAAGAAAGTCTCCTTTCAAAAATGGATAATGGCATTTCTTATGTTATTTCGAGATGTTCTTTGTTAATTTTTCTATTTGTGCATTATGTATGATAGTTAATGCAAGTTCAGATAACATAAAATTTGAGCTAATATTACAGTAATTTAAGCTTAATGGGAATTTATATTCTCATATTCTGTTGTTGTTGGTCTTGTCCATATTACATGGAACAGTGGTTGCCAGAGCATACTCCAAAGAGAGGTTGAACTTCTGTTTTGCACCCCAATTTTGAGGGAAAAGCAAACAGGGGTTTCCCACTCCTCTCTCCTTCCACCAATCCACACAAGTGGACTTTCGGCTCACCGCATATTTATCGTGCCATCATGCTGCACCGACACCATAGATCTACAAACATACATGTCCTCTCCGGGATTCGAACCCAGGCCCTTCGGCACCATAGTAGGGTCCCCTAACCACTATACCATCTGGGCGACTCTCTCATATTATGATCAAAACTAATATCATATGTAAAGTAAAATAGGCAGTGAATACGAAAACTTGCATGTTTAATTTTTTTTATTTTTACAGAAGGAAGAACTTTATATATATATATATTACATGACACTACATTGAATATCACAAACAAAATATTAAAGACAGAGAAAAAAATATTTCAAGGCACTTTTTTAATATACTGGCCTATTTTTTAACTTTTGCAGATATATAATGGTTAGTTAAAAAATCATTCAGTACATTTCCTATTAATTTATAAGTAACTATCTATAATTTAAGGAATTATGAAGGTAATGCTCAATAAATCTAAACTTAAATATAATATAAAACTAGATTAAAAGTGGAATACAGGATGAAATTAAAAAGTCGGTCTTCTGTGAAGGTAAATTAAAATAGGTGATGCATATTTATTTGATGTCTATGCAATGAAAGTTTTCTTGAAATAATTATGTATAGTTCATGGAAATAAAAATTAATGCTACAAGAATTACACAAAAGTTTAAGAAAAATATATAGAAATCACATATAATACAAGGAAGAGTAGGCTAGAGCTAGTCATAGCCATTTCTGTGCTGTGTAAAAATTAACTATTCATATTCCTCCACAAATGGAATGTCAAGTGATTTTACACAATGCTTTTAATTAAATAATTCTCACAGTGTCTTTTCAATTAGATAACAAATTATTAAGAATATATGTACATCATCTCTATAACACACATGTACAAATATATAATAAATATCACATCAACTGCATTAAATGTTATATACTTTTTATGTCTTATTTCTAAGGTAAAGTTATCTAGGATAAAAAAAAAAATCAGTGATTATACATAAAACAAACATTTTAAAGCTTCTAATAGTAATTTACAAGCATACATGATTTGCTAATAATTTAAAAATGAGTAATAGATGATAAACAATATTTAACAATAAATAGCTTTTTTTTTTTACCATTTTAGTTAAGGAATTTTTTTTCCTAACATTAGAAACTGCTGAAAACTATTAAATACTTTTTAGATTTTAGTAGCAGCAAGCAGGATAGTAATTTAACGCAACTTCAAATAGTAAACTGAGATGTTGTTATAAACAATTCAGTAAGATTTACAAAACTGTGAAATGGAAGAAATTTACCAAAGATGCCTGTATATATATCGATATAAAAAATGCCTGCGTATATATATATGCTTGTATATATCTATATATAGGCATTTTTAATATATATATATTACTTCCGTATTATAGAATGATTATATCGAACTGTTAATAAAATAATACTGCATACATGAAATGTGACATTGCATATACACATCTTGATTAACACGTTGAGCGCGGCGGCGAATTTGCTGTCCTTTCCATTCAGCCAGCGCAAGTGATCAAGCGGTGCAATGCTGCAGGGTGATCCGCGACTTCATGCACTGATTAGAGCTAGTCTGTTCGTGAGAGCTTTGTCGGCTACCGACATACAAGCCCTGCCTGTGCGTGACAAAGCTCATGGTTGCCAATGTTAATACTGCCGATCCTGTGGACAGACGCCTGCCAAACGAAATTCCAGTGCCGGTCCCTAGGGACTGACGCCAGGCTCAATGTGTTCCTGCCGGTCCCTAGAGGCCGACGAAATCTAACTGCCGGTCCCCAGGGCCCGCCACCGCGCTCGATGTGTTAAATAGAAATATGAAAATAATAGTAGAAACGAAAATTCGTATAATTTTAACAAAAACATGGAATCCATGTTATGGAATCTGAAAGTAATTTATTCCGAGAAGGTACTCAAAAGATTTGTATGTTAATTTTGCAAAGTGTTGTTTGATATTATAGTTTAAATTCCCAATTATCAGAGAAGAAACTTGGATAAAAGTCATGTTTTTTTGGTACAGATGGTCAATTTCTTTGTTTTAAAATCATGCAAAAGTAAATTTTTGAATAATTTAAAAAAAAAAGAAAACCTTATTAAATAAATGAAAACTATATAAATAATAATGCGTGTAAAATGAAGTTGTAGGTAGAAAAGAAACTGATTTATACTTCCCAAAATTATGGAAAAGCATTATTCAGTGTTTTAATAATATATTACACATAAAACATATATATATATATATAGCTTCAAATTATAAAATATTTTTAATTTATATTATTACAGTCAGTAAAATTATACATAGGATTTTATTTACTATTCCTAGAATTTATTCAAAGAAAATTTGTTAAAGAACTCAATTTCAATTCCAAAAAAATTAAAATCTTATATCTTTTACATCATAATTTTCGAGCGACATATTTACAACACCCAAAATACTTGGGTTGTACAGAAATGATTGACACAACAGCTCTCACAATGACACTATTACACTATGGGATGGGAAGGGAAGGGAAAACAAGTGAAATAGAGACAAGGAGGCGTCAGCTACTCAGAATGCATTGATGGAGCTGGCTGCTAGCGAACGGTATAAGTATACACTCGTCTCTTTGGCCATCGTCATCGAGAGCGTAAGAAGTAATGATGGAAGGTGATAAGCATTGCACATCGTCGTTTCTATGTAAAGAAGTGATACAGGGCAGCGAGATCCTGTGGCAGCATTTGTGTCATTCATTTCTGTATGATATAAATATACGATTTTGTTTAAATAAAACACAGTATTTTATATTAGAAGCATTAGCTAAATTTGGAAATTGTATTCTGTGTAATTATTTTCTTAATTGAATTATTTTTTCCAAAACAAATTCTCTTAATTTTTAAGCTAAATAAAACTAAATTCATTAAACATATGTATGCCTCTGATGTGGAACTAAAGACTGAAACTAACGATAAGCAAAATACAAATAATAGATATTCTTCCTGTTATGGCCATTTTGTAACTTTAAGGAAACAAAAGTTCATTCTTAGAAAAGGTTTATACGAAATAAATGAGCATCATAAATATTAAATTTTTTTTTTTAGTTTTACAATAAATTGTCTAGACATCATTCATCAGTATAATATCATTTGAATCTCTCTGTATAATTTGAATTTAAATACAAAGATCTATTAATAATTATAATATATTGTTTTACTGCTATAAGAATGTTTTTGGTTATTCATGACAAGTAATGAATTTGGATTCCTTGGCAGTTATTTTTTATAAATATGTAGAAGTATGTTGAAAATAAAACTATGTGGTTTATGGTGGAACTTATGCAAGGCCTGACCAACGATGAAGATAACTCCCCCAACCAGCAGAACTAGTAGTATCATTGGGATCAATATCTAATAAAGAGAAATTCATTAAATGAAACGTTTCAAAAGACAAAATTCATTAAAAGTATTATTGTTAATTATTGAATGCATAAACATCTAAACAAGGATAAATGAAAGACACAATATAAGATGAGAGGAAAATAGTAATTAAGCTCCTTTTAGAATACACTGGTGTGCAAAAATTAAGGACTAAGTCGAAAAATTAGCATATCAGCTGAACGAAGAGGCAGAGCGGACAGAAAGACCAATTAGGAGATTAAGTAAGGTGATGTACGGTAGCACATGCGCAGATATGCTAGATAGATAGACGTAATGGGGGAGTGTCTGAGTAGTATAAAGCATGTTGTCGGTGTAAGATCAGTATTTCTGGCAAAGAGATTGCACGCCGTATAGCAGTTAAAATCACACCGAGTTGCTGCCTCAGCGAGAAATGGCGAATAATCAATCTGTTAGACGACATCTGGATGCTTTTACCCGAGGTCGAATCATTGGAAAGTTGGAGGAAGGCCGCAGTGTGACAAGTGTGGCTGCCGAGTTCGGAATTGCTCACAGCATCGTTTCACGACTTTGGAGACAATTTCAAACTACAGGAACAGCTATCCGGGGGTTTAGTAGTGGTCGTCCACGAGGAACCACACCCGCAGATGACCGGTATATTGCCTTACAGGCCAGAAGAAACAGGCGGCAGACAGCGGGAGAAATCGCTAGACACACGACACAGGCGACTGGACAATGGATATCGCGTTTTACCGTGGCCAGAAGACTGCACGGTGGTGGTCTGTTTGCACGACGCCCTGTACGGTGTGTACCTCTAACGCCTGCCCATCAGAGAAGGCATTCTCTGTAGTGCCGGGAACACCGGAATTGGAGAGACAATGAATGGGGACGAGTACTCTTTACTGATGAGAGCAGATTCAGTCTGAGTAGCAATTCTCATCGCATACTCATCTGGAGAGAGCGGGGAAGCCGCAATCATCCCTCGAACATCATTGAAAGGGACAGGTATGGAGGTCGCGGTGTTCTCGTTTGGGGAGGCATCATGCTTGGTAGCCATACAGACCTTCACATCTTCGACGCAGGTTCGGTCAACGGGACCCATTATTGTAACGAGATTCTTCTTCCATATGTGCATCTTTTTAGAGGCACTATGGGTCCGCAGTTCCTTTTCATGGACAAAAATGCACCATGTCATCGCACAGTAGTTGCCGAACAGCTCTTAGAGAGTGAAGATATTGAACGTATGGATTGGCCGGTACGATCTCCGGATCTCAATCCCATCGAGCATGTATGGGATTTTCTAGACAGATGCTTGGCAGCTCGTACCTTACCACCAGTAACGATTCCGGAGCTTTGATTGGCGCTGCAAGACGAATGGGCAGCAAAGAATGCCTGGACAATCCAACCACCCTTCATTGACACCCTCATTCTCAGCATGGGCAGACACTGTGTGACCTTGAACCTGCCTAGCAGTCATCAGGGGAGATCATATGCCCTATTAAAGATCGGATGTTTCTTGCTGGACACCCATCACAGGGATGTTTCGGCCTTCAGTCGCATTGCGCTCCATGCTACTTTTTCAATAAAGCTTCTTTTTTCCCTCTGATTTCTCTTTTAGTAAGTGTTGCTTACATTAGTCATGTCCTTACGTATTGGGGATCTTACGGTATTAAATGTGTTGATTTGGAAAGCTTTTGTACAAAGTTATATTGAAAAAACCGTCTCGTCCTTAATTTTTGCACACCAGTGTACATAATAAATTTACAAATATAATATACTTTATTTGCATGTTAAAGAATCAAAAAACATATAAAATTAAATTGAAGACAAAATAGTCTTGGTTTACATGTTAAAGTATCCTATACAGAGGATGAAAAGGAAGGTCATTACTCCACGTCTTTGGGTGACTTTCATAGTATAGAACTTTTTAAGCTATTTTTGTGTTTTGATTTTGTTAATCATTCTAACTCTGTCCCATTCATTAACCTTTTAACTGTCAAGTTATTTTGATGATTTGGATGCATAAATTGTCAATTTTTTTAAATTCCAAAAATGAAAGTTTGCCTCGCAATCCCCCCCAAAAAAACTGTGCACTTTGAACTTTAAATCTCTATACTTTCTTTTGTTTTCCAATAATATTCATGTTGCCTGCCTGCAGGAAACAAAACCAAAAACTTAGTCTAAAAATTAAAGGGTACACAACAATCAGAAAGGACAGGCCAAACAGCAACGGAAAATTAAATATGTAGAAGTCTTTTCAACTTTCGTGTCAGATACCAGCACGGAAGCTCAAGCAATAAATGTCCTTCCGGAGCATACTATCACCGTGATTAATGTTTACCATGCCAACAATTCTCCTATTGATACAGACCTTCTTCAAAATCTGGCATCTTCAAACTCAGACAAAAATCATATTAGGAGACTTCAATGCCAAGAGCTCCTCATGGGGCAGCAATCTGCTGGATTCTAAAGGAACCCAAGTTGAGGACCTAGCAGACGACTTGAACTTAACCATCCTCAACACAGGAGAAAATACGTACATCTCTAGAACAAATGGAACAGCGGCTGCACTTGACAACACCACCATTAGCCACCTTTCAGCAGACAGAACAAACTGGAGAGTCCTAGATTCTGCCATCAGTGACCGTTACCCAGTTCTTACAACCTTCTCAATAGACCGAGAATGTCCATCGCAATCCAAGCACTCATGCAACTTCCGTAAAGCAGACTGGCCTGGGTTTACCCGAGAACTTGAGAACCTATGCTCTGAACCAACAGTCTGTAGTAACTTTGAGGAACTTCTCTCTTTACTAGCCGCACCCAAATCGCAGCAAAACATCACATCCCTCGAGGAAAGAGTAAGGATGATTGGATTCCATTTTGGAAGGATTATAACATCGAGGCACTTATAAAGAAAAGAGACCAAACCAGTAAAGAACTCCAAAGCAACAAAAGTGAGGAGATGAGATGTAAACTTATCGAAGTAAGTCAAAAGGTGGAAGAAGCCATCTCGGCTAGCAAACAAGAGAAGTGGACAGAGCTGTGCGAACACTTGACCCAAGAAAAGGTATGTCCCAATATTGGAACTTGATTAAGGTTCTAAACAACTCAAGCAGTTCAGCAGCCAACATACAGGCAGAACCTCAGTCGAATGTGATCTCCACAAATGGCTCAAATGCCAGAACAAACAAAGAACTAGCAAACTTACTTGCTAAGCACTACGAAGCTTCTAGTAAACTGCAGTATATGACAGGAGACAAGAAAGTTAATAAAAAATACCTATCTGTTATTAAAAGAAGCAGGAAAACAACCGACAACAGCATCTTCACATCTGACTTTGATCCTGAGGAACTGGAATCTGCAATAAATAGCCTGGATCAAAAGAAATCCCCCTGGCCAGACCTCATTTTTGGACAAATGATCACACATTTTGGTGAACATGCCAAAAGAGACTTGCTGAATATCTTTAATATCTCGTGGCACTCTGGTAAGTGTGCTCCAAATCCTGGAATAACTCTGTAATTATTCCCATCCTAAAACCTAGAAAATCTGCAAGTAACTGCACTAATTACAGACCTATCTCGCTCACCTGCATTCTGTGAAAACTTATGGAGTGTATTATTCACTCTAGGCTGATGAATTGGATCACAGAGAACAACATTTTGTACTCATATCAGACTGCATATAGAGCCAATCACAGCACTGTCGATCAGCTTGTCTACCTTTCACAATCGATTACTGACGGCTTTCAAAACAAACCCCATACGAAAACCATGGTTCTTCTTGATCTTTCTGCTTTTGACAGAGTCTGGAGGCAGAAACTCATCAACTTTTTACACGATACAAGCATTACATCTAAAGCTCTAATCTGGATTAATGATTTTCTAAGGAAGAGAAGCTTTAAAGTCAGGGTTAATGGAAGTTTCTCTACCACTCACCATACCTGGGCGGGAGTTCCTCAGGGCTCTGTACTCAGCCCTCTTCTTTTTCTTCTATACATGAATACGATTGACCTCCACATCAGTAAAGAAATCAAAGTTGCCTGTTATGCCGATGATGTTGCAGTCTGGCACACCCACTCAAATCTCGAAGTCTCACAAAAGGCTCTAAATATCTGTATGAGAGGCATTGAAATCTGGTCAAAAGATCTTAAAATTAATCCAGATAAAACAAACTTTTGTGTCTTCTCAACAGATAGAAAAAATAGAAGCTCGTTTCATCCTATTATAAAGCTATTAGGTTCTGAAATCAAACAAACTTCTAACCCCAAGTATCTCGGACTGACTCTAGATGCAGAGTTGAGATTCTCTAAACACCTTGAACATGTTTCATTAAAGGTACTGAAAAAGCTAAACATCCTTAATAGACTTTGTGGTGCTTCTTGGGGATCAAGACCAAAACCCCTCAAGAATACTTACACTTCCATCGTCAGACCTGTTCTAGAATACGCAGCACCCACATGGGCATCGGCAAGGCCTACTGTTAAAGGAAAGATCGACGCTGTTCAATATAGGGCCTCTAAAATCATCACTGGAGCTGTTTCATCAACGAATAACATCAAAATTGAAAAGGAATGCAGCCTCATCCCCTTGGAGAGCAGAAGAAAATTACTGACAATTAAATTTACCTACCAACAAAATACAAACCTTTGCTGAACATCATACCTCAAGTAGAAACTTCAGGGCATGGAGTGACAATTGCAGACTTAAGAGATCCTCAAACCTCCAACATATCAGAAAGACAAGATCCAAGATATCAGAAATGACATCAACCTCAAATATGAGACTCTTAAAATTTCCAAAGAACCTTACAACATTCTGTGCCCTCTCCCCCAAACAAAAATTTATTTAAATCTCTTACAGCCTTGTACCAAGAAAGATCCCACCGCAATAATCAAAGAAAAGGGTGACTATACCATTGAGGAACTCACGGCCTTAACTCAAGATCTGACGATCGCCTACGCAGATGGCTCTTCCGACTCCAATCTGAACAGAGGAGGAGCGGGAGTCTTTTTCATCGGACCAGATGGAGTGCAGAAATGCCACAGCATTGTTGGGAAAATCGCCTCCAACTATACATGCGAGCTCGTCGCCATCAAAAGTGCTCTGGAGATTTATCTCTCTAAAGAAGAACATAGTTCCAAGGGCATCATCATCTTCTCTGACTGCAGATCAGCATTGCAAGCAATCCAGAAGGGCAAATGTCAACTCAGTCATCAGATCATTGGGCTCGCAAACAAAATCATTGCTGCCCAAAGATCCTGCATCTTACAATGGATACTGACTCATGTAAATATTTTTGGTAATGAGAAGGCCTATGAGCTTGCAAAGGCATCCTGTGATTCTCCTCAGCCATCCAACTGCCTAACCCTCGTTGATGCCAATGCAGTTGCCAGCCAAAGACTAATCGGTCAAGTTAGAGGAAACTCCATCCTGGAATTGAACTGTGACAGAGCAATATCGACTATCATAACCAGACTTAGGACAAATCACTTAAAAGGGCTGAGGATTTCTGCAGACGGACAGCGTAGTTACACCAACATTTGTCCTCATTGCCCAGATGACATCCCACTGTCTTGCCATCACATCTTTAGCTGCCCAGCAACCCAGGCCAGACTGTTTAACATCGGCATTGAAGACCCAGTGGACCTACTTTATACTGATAGAGCTGCTGAGGTTGCAAAAGCTGTCTTTGACAGCTTCGGAGCTATATAATTGCACTTTGTCATGGACACGACATCATCATCATCATCATCATCTCTATCCTTTGAAACCTTCAGTAAAGTCCTGCCATCTGTTGAACTGAAGCCGAAATAAACTTCTCGCGATATATATATTCGGGTATAACAATACGATGCACTCAAAAAAAAATTAGTCCGAGTAATGTTCGGGCTTGACATTTTGGAATACCAGTGCTGTGGCCGAGGTTATTTCGGGCATGACAGTTAAAAGGTTAACTAAGTTTGGATATTTTAAGGAGCATTTTATTGAAGATACACCTTTTTTTTTTTTTGTACGGATTGATAGAGATTTTATAAATACCTTTCTTCTGTTAACTATTTTTATCAATATTCCTCTAGATGTTGAACCAATACATAATTTTCAGTATTTATTTCTTCATCATGGATGGGGATAATATGCACAACTGATGTAGCATCAGATTTAAGAACAATTTTCCCCTTACAACAATTTCCAGATAGATATGCACGGAGTTATAGTATTGTAAGAAAATATTTTACTGAATTTACTTCTGTATACTAATGTATTGGTAACAACTTTTTCTGATTAAATTGCAGACATTTCCCTGTTAATTTTATTGTTAAGTTCTTCAGGAAAGTCAGGTAAAGAAGAATTCATTAGCATGTTTTAAATACAAATAAAATGAAATTGTTTTGTATGATGAAATTAAAAACAATAAAAAAGAATGGATTTAATTTGTCATTTATTTATTTGTCATTTGGTTTATGGTATATGAAGTGCATTTACCAGTTTCTGATAAATACGAGGGCATTTCGGAAAATAAAGATACACCGTACGCCAGAGGAAAAGAAAAGTTTTGGTGAGCAAGTTGGCAACACAGGTGTTAACCTTAAACCGTTAGCTTTCTCCTCGTGGTCGTTCAGCATTTCAACATTGATTCTGGTTGGAGTAGGTCGTGTTTAAAATGGCTGCGCCGATTAAAAATCCCGCCAAATGCGAAGTGCATTCTGTCATACATTTTCTTCATGCAAAAGGTCAGCGATCAGTGGATATTCACAAAGAAATTGTTTCTGTTTATGGGAACATTATGAATCGACAAAACGTAACGAAATGGTGTCTGCATTTCTCTGAAGGTAGGACCGATGTTCATGACGAACAAAGAACGGGTTGGCCATCTGTGATCTCTGATGCCCTTCTTCAGAGAACAGAGGAAGCAATTCGTGCGAATAGACGTCTCAAAATGAAAGAATTGCATCAGATCATACCGGAAGTGTCAATGACAACTCTTTATGAAGTTGTGACTGTCAGGAAATTGTGTGCGCGCTGGGTTCCAACAGGTAGCAACCTTCTATGACTGTGGGATACAAAAGCTTGTGCACCGACTTAACAAATGTTTGGATAACGGGGGTGATTATGTCAAAAAATAATAAATAATCCAGTTAATAAGATATAACTGACATTTTCTAAATATTTTTTTTTTTTTTAAGGAATGCGAGCCATTGTATCTTTACTTTTCGAAATGCTCTCGTATTTTGAGTATAATTTTTGCAGTTGCTACTACATTTACCTAGTACAGATGCACTGGTTTTCAAAATACAGAGGGTGTGTATACATTTTAAAAACGATTTTGAGGCGAAACTATTAAAAATTATTTGACACAACTTATTTTTCATGTTTCCCACTCCAGAAGTTAATAAGTTCTCATAAATCCTGTATCTTTAAGTTTCTTAAATATTTAAAGTTCCACTCTAACTCCTTTTTTTTATATGCTATTGTTATCACAAATATATCTTGAACAGTATAAACCAAGAAAACTGTCATCAATATATTCTGTAAGCTAGAAAATTAAATCACTCCCTTCTTTTTTAATTGGAATATTTACAATACACATTTAAATGTTTCAAATATATCCTTTGCAGGGCCTTTAAAATGAGAATTATTTAGAACATAAGGTCCATTTGATTTAAAACAACATATTAATTGAAAATTTTCAGTAATAAAATTAACACAATTAGGAAATTGTTATCAAATAATCTACTTTAAGAAGTTAATGAAGTTAATGATCACTACATAAAATTTGCATGAAAATTACTATACCTCCTGCAATATTTTTGAGTTGTTGTTGTTCATCTGGACTTAATTTTAGCATAGTTGTTAATACTGGTATCAGCATTGCTTTTTCACTACATGCTTGTAATGTTGAAAACTAGATAAAATACATATGCATATATAATTATTATTTCACACAAATATGAAAATATACACAGACCAACCAGAGGATCTTATTAATTTTCAAACTAAAATAAACTTGAATTCATAGAGCAATTCAAAATATACCTTGATAAAAACATTTTTAAGATATTCCAGATTTTCAGCATGTTGTTCTCTTTCTTTGTTCCTTTCAAGCCTCCTAACTTCTTCTTTTAACACGCGAACTTGTTCACTTAATCTGAGATTAGTACTTTCACTATCATTCAAAACCTATAACAAAAATTTATTTATAATATTTGAGTGAGTATGCTAAAAACATAGTGTGTTAAATTTCAGGACCTATGTATCCAGGAAAAGTATTACAAAGTATATTTTTATAAGCTCAGACACAATACAGACTATTAAAGCTTATTTAAAGAGGAAGTCAATAATTATATTGTTTCATAAACATGCTTTCTTTCTATGTAAAAATTTCGTACTTTAACTCAGGATTTAGATCATATCTTATACTGTAAGCAGGAATCAGTCTTCGCTGTCTTTTAATTAAATTATTAATATAGTTATCATTGGAACATTTCCACCTTTTACCTTTTTAATACAACTTAGCAATAAAATGTTTAACAGAATTATTTGAAACAGTCATTTAAAACTATTTTGAATATGAACTTACTTCACTAAGATGTTCAATTTTCTTATTTGCAGCATTCAAATCGGCTATGAGTTTTTCACAGTCTTGATTAGAAATAAAACTTGCAGGAGCTGAAATTTTTTTAATTAATATGGTTAAGTATAATAATAACAAATTACAATCCTTGCTTTTTTGATATGAGCATTAAATAATGCAGAAAATTCAGTAAGTTATATAAAATTTCACATTTTAAATATGAAGTTTGCATAATTGTTTCTTCTGTTTTGGTAAAATAATTGAGTAAAAATAATATAAATCAAAATGGCTGAATAAAAATGTATAATATTTAGAAAATTAAATAATTCTGATCTATACTTTTTATTTTCTATGACTGTAGAATATATAGCATAAGGTACAAAAGTGACAGGGAGTACAAAAATTTTTAGTAAAATTGAAAAACAGTTTTTATAATTTTTACCGTAAATACTGGTGATGGAAAATGTAACTTGAGAAACAAGGTTTTAAAACTTATATTTCAATGCAAAAATTTATATATTTGTATAAATTACACTAAAATAATAAATTAAAAAAAATGATCAAAACAGAAAATATTTCGAGAACAAAATGTTGGGTTACACATTGCTGGCATTCAGATAATATTCAACAACGGATACATATACATGCAATTTAAGTTTATACTTCTAGGGATAACTAAAAACTAGAAATAAAAAATAATAAAATATTGAATTATTTTCCATACATATATTTTAAGAAAAAGATCCCTTTAAAAGGATAACTTTTCCAAGACAATCATTGTGTTATATTTAATACATATTCTACTGGAACTTAAAATTGCTTTCACAGGACTTCACAACTTCATAAGAGTAAGAAACATAAAATTTTTTGAAAAAAAAAATGGATTTTGTAGAAAAACTATCACATATCTAAATATTTTGAAACAATTACGGAGAGAAAAAAATATATAATTTACAAATGAAAAATTTGATAAAGTAGTTTTAACATAATTATAACTTCTTTGCTTTTACCAAAAAGTAATCTGAATTATATGTAACATTTATTATCTTCTTTAAATTTCAGAATCTAAGTATTAAGAAATTAGTAAACACATTTTTAAATAATTATTTTAATGCTGTATTTCAAAAACACTTATTCTCCATATTGCAAGCTATAACAGTTTTAAGAGAAGAGGTTTCAATTCAAAAAATAAATTCTTCGGAAGATATAAATATATGAAATTAACCAGCTTTTAGTTTAATTATTATTATTATGATTCTCATGTTAAGCTGCTAAAAGTACAATTAATATATAGATATAAAGATTAGAAAATAGGTATTGGTAATAGTGTTTACGAATTATTAATTATACAAAACTTTTTAAAGGGGAGGAATTAAAAAAAAAACCTGAAAGCCTATTATGCCAAAAGAGGCATTTTTTTCATTTGCACACATTTCAAGAGCATTTAGGCTAAAATATTTAAAAACAGCATATCTTTAGAATTTCGGATAGACAGTCTCAAGCATTGGAGATAAAAAAAAATTTTTTTCCATACAGTGTTTCCATTGCTCACTTTGAAATCATTGAGTTTGTTAATCGAAAATTTGTTAAAAGTTTTTCAAAATATGAAATAGATGATAAAACAAATTCAAAATTTGGGCTTCCAGGGGCCCATATTCAGGTGGAGATGTTAGTCAAAATTTGATGGCTATAGGTACCATTGTTTTTCACAATGCGAGAAATGTACATGCATTGCAGATTCTTCATTATTTAATTTCTTTAAATACGAGTATAATAGAGGGTGATAATATTTAGTGGCAACAATTTGAAAAGTGATTTGATGCAAAATGCTGTTTTGACAAGAACCGGCCTTCTGGGCTGACGCCCCTTTGGGCTAATAAATTTAACAAGTCTCCATTGCACCAGTTTAGAAGTCAAAGAACAAAATTCAGCATTATATTTTCAAAAGTCTCCAATGGTTTTAAAAAAAGAAGACTGAAATTTGAAAAGTTTTAAGCAAACTTTACAAGTACAATAGTTATTACAGGCAAACAATAAATTGAAAAGATCTGAAGAGTGCATAATAAAAAGGATATAAAAATAGTCACACAATGAAAATAACTTCTATATAACAGTATGCCTAATATTAATTTAAAAAAAAACAGTAAGACTTTTTAATATACAAAGAAGAGGGTACATTTACAGCATATCAATTTAAATATAGAGGTTAAAATAATTAATGAAGCAAGATTTTTTCCTGCTCATTAATTTCTTATTCTATCTTTATATTATTTCTAATTCCATTTTTCATTAATTTTTCTCTCATAATTTCTCACTTGATCACAGGTAGAAAATAACAGTCACAAGATAATTAATATGAACTGAATTTTGTGTTGAAAAATTGCCAAACAAAAGGCAATATAGAATGCACAAAAAATAAATAGTAACTCTAGTCATAAACTCTCTAAATGTAGACTGAACTTTTGCTTATTTATTATTACACTTAATTACTTTACTTTTATTATTACACTTAATGATTTGATTTGTTATGGCAATAAAAGATAAGCAATAAAAATAATAACTTAATGAACCAGTAGGCAGGCCAGGCAAGCTTATAAATAGAAGACTTCAGGTACCCATTTATATAATGAAGAAGGGAGGGGGGATAAACTTACTTCCAGGCTCAGGGGGTGACTGTAAAAGTTTTTCAAATGGAAGAAAGCCTGAGGTTGGAATAGTTGCAAGAGATAAATGCTAAAAAAAAATAAAATAAAATAAAATAAAATAAATAAATAAAAAACTTAGTTATTACAGTAACATGAATAATATTAAATACTGTCTTCAGGAAGTAAATGACACTTATTTAATATGCAAAAACGTAAAGAAGGAGTATTGAAGAACTAATAAAAATAAGATAAAATCTGCAATACTACTCACTCTAATTGGTGTGTTGATATCCTCAGTATTCTCCGAGCCCTAAGTAAGTAAATAAAGATTTAAAAATTAACAAGAAGAATAAATTATTCAAATAATTTGCTTAAATAAAAAAATACTAGTAAATTCCAAAGAATTCATTTTTTTCAATGAAATGCTTATTGAATATTAGAAAATAAATATTAGATTGAAAAGCTAAAGCATTTAAATCATTTTTGTGTTACATAAGGATGGATCATTTATCTGATAATAACAGTAATAAATAATTTGCTTGATAAAAGAAATAAAAACAATGTATCTGACTAAAGCCAAAGTTTTAATGGTGAGATGCTTTTAAAACAGCATATCTGAATTCATGATAATCTAACAAGGTCTTCATGTTATTAAATAATTATAACTTTATCATACTTGCACCTATCAGCAATAATCAGAAGCAGGTAACACTTCTGTATGAGTAACAGTGCCTTGTTTCATTAAGAAGAAACTAATGAAAGCTCTCATCAATCAGGCAACCAACAAAGTTTGTGTGTTTTTCGTCACTCATCCAAAACATCCCACAAATATATTAAACACTAACTATAAACAGCTTCTGTAGCTTTGTTTCCTAATTTGTATTTGAAAAGCAAATTAGGTCTAAAAATTTCCTTTTCCAATGACATGTTCTTTCGAAGAAAGATTGCACTTCCTACAAAACCAATAATGAAAAGTGTGAACAACTCTGTACTGAATAAGGTTTTAAAGGATTGTAAAAATATGATCTCATCAGAATCAATTTGACCACTCTAATGTGACAAAAGTAACTGTTCTCAAAAATCCCAACTTCCTTGGTTAGCAAGTAGTATGCAATTACAGGACAGACATTTCTGATTGTAGTTGACATGTGGTGATTGATCAAATGTGTCCAAGTGCAGAATTATTCAAGTGTCTACAATTGTAGCTATTCATTGTTACATGCTTTTAATAAGCATATAATAACTGGCACCACTCACCAGTGACTAGAAGAAAGCTGTGTAAACACATGAATCTCATTTTTTACAACACTGAGCTCGTATGATATTTATCCAAGAGTTCTTTCTATATGGATGCTGTCACACAGATGGGAAAGTGTGATGATTTGAATGGCATTTCTCTCAAGAAGCAATCAGGCGCTGAAGTACTAACACATCTTAGTTCATATTTATTGAAATACTGTTTGCTGAACCATTTACACTCCTTTATAGCAATCACATTTCCTAATAAAAATAGCATCTTTCAACAAGATAGTTCTTCATATTATACTAAAGAAGACTGAAGAATTCTTCCTATGACATGATAAGGAATTCCCTTTATTTCCTATGGCTTTAAAATTTGCAGAATATGAAATCGATTGAACATTTACAGTGGTGGCCAGAATTGTGGACACTTTTGGAAATTTTTATGTTTTTGAACTTTGTATGCTTATAGAAAATGTTATGTTTCGCAAAATGCAAACTTGTATATATCATTTTAAAGAGAATTTATTACTGAATTCAATACAAAACACAAAATTAAATTATTTGCAATACAAAAAAAGTTAAATGATAATAGTTATCAATATACATTAGATAGTGATGATTGCAGTGAGTTATCAGTACTTAGTAGGGTACCCTTTATTTTTGATTACAGCTTCACATCGACGTTTCATTGAGCTGACAAGAGTTTTAAGCTCTTCTTTCGTTATTACATGATGCCAGGAAACAATTATGGCCTCAATTAGTTCCTTTTTTATTTGATGAGCGCCTCATTCAGACAAGAGTTCTCAAACGGTGCCACAATTTTCGATAGGATTGGTCAGGACTGTTTCCTGGCCATGACAACAATTTAATGCTCTTTATACGAAACCACTCTTTTGATATTTTGGCCGTGTGGTAAGGAGCAGAATCCTGCTGAAAAATAAAGGAAGCAATGCTGGGAAAGAGATCTCTGATGGAAGGTAGAAGTTTTGGTTCTAGAATAGTGTCAATGTATTTTCTGGCATTCAGTGTCCCATCGATGACATGAAGGTGACCAATACCTTTTGCTGACATGCATGACCAAATCATAACACTAATTGGGTTCTTCACAGTTGCTTGAATGCAATCAGGATGTAGCTCTTCTCCTATTCTACGTATTACATATTTTCGCCCATCACTACCGAATAACGATATCTTAGTTTCATCACTCCATATAACTTGTGACCACTGATCATCTGTCCAATTAATGTGTTCCTTTGCCCACTGTAGTCTTTTTTTCATTGCTGAAAATTAAGATAAGGCTTTTTTCGTGGAATTCTACCTCTCAGTCCAACATCTGTGAATCTTCTCCTGATTGTTCTTGAACTGACAGAAACACCATCATCATTCAGATCACTTCTGATGGCCGCTGACGACATTTTTCTATCTTGGAGACATAGTCTTTTTATTCTTCTGTCATCAATAGATGTGGTGCACCTTTTTTGGCCTTTTCCTTCTTTGTTTTTTATTGAATTTGTCTCCTGATATCGTAAACAAAACTTTCGGACTCCAGATGTAGTCACTGAAACACCCACCTGTCTTACAATTTCAGCATAGGAAAGACCACTTTCTCATAACACAATAATATTACATCTCTTTCTAGGTGTCCAATCTACTGTTTTATTTGATGTCATTGCTTCTTGACTAAATATTAAAAATTTTTACAAAAATTCCTCCTTGTAATTGCAGTGTATAAGAAAAAGGCCCTCCTTCTACAGAACAAAGCAAAATAATGAACTGTTTCAAGTGTAAGCATGATGTCAGCTTCTACTCCAAGTTACTAACATTTCATTGGTTCTCAGAACAAGAACAGTGATTGGCCAGGAAAGCTAGACATTACAAACCACTTAATAACTGTGTTTTTTATTTATATTAAAGTACATATAACATTTTTGTATTGCTAATAATTTAATTTTGTGTTTTGTATTGAATTCAGTAATAAATTCTCTTTAAAATTATATATACAAGTTTGCATTTTGCGAAATATAAAATTTTCTATAAGCATACAAAGTTCAAAAACATAAAAATTTCCAAAAGTGTTCAAAATTTTTGCCACCACTGTATAGTTGAAATGGTTACAAGGAGAGCATCTCAGTTACATAATTTACAAGAACTGAGCAGTGTTCTGTAGCAAACAATATCACAAAAATGTTAACAGCTGACCGATTCAATGCTTAACTACTTTTTGGTGAAGTCACAAAGATTAGCTACATATTATGCAAATGTTTTAACTATTTGACTGGAATATGTTTCTGTTACCTGAATTTGCAGATATTTACTGTTCTTACAACATACATAGATGAGAACCTATGTTAACTTTTTAAATCTGTGACAATGATTAAAAAAGCAATGAATATAGTACATTTTAATATATATTAATTAAAAATTACTAAATATAAAAATTATTTGTCTTCAAAATATAAATGAATTAGTTTCAAAATTTTCTTAACAGAAATAAATTATTATTCATAAAATGTACCTCTCCTTCTTGTCTTTCTTGTGAAAGGATATCAAATGGAACAGGATTATCTGATGCACTAGGCGTTACAGACACACTTTGGCTTTTCTGATGATCTCTTTGGAGACGAGCTATTTCTACATCAGCTGCATCCAGCTGTTTCTGCAGATCATTTACAATTCGCTTATGTTCCTCACTCATAATTTTTATTTGCTTCTATAAATACAAACCATGACATTTGAACATAATACAGATGCAGCAATTATTATAATCATATTAATTAGTTATGAAAACCACAAAAACATATAAAGTATTTTTTTAATCTCCTGTTTTTTTATTTATAATTTAACATTAATTTGTCTTTATTTATTAGGAATGGGACCCTCAAATCTTGAAAAAGAATTAAGGTCTTTGTACTATGCTTCTAAACTAATAAGTGGACTGTATAGCAAAATAACTAACTAATTTATTTACAGTAATTAACTATTCAGATCTAATACATGCTCTAGCATGTTGCTTAGCCGAATCCAGATGGCCAAGTGAGTTTCTCTACTTATCCAATAGGTGGCGCTGTATTCTAACTTAACAGTCTTAACACTTTCTTAAGCATTTGAACTAGAACCTAAAAAACAGTCAAGCATTTTAACTCAAATCTTAAGAGATTTTTGAGTTCATAAATTATTTTAATTACATTCAGATGAAGTATTTATTAAAAACATGTGGAATTATTGCAATTTCTGTGGTGTCCGGATCACCAACAATGCCTCATAATGACCCTCACTGCCAGTCGCTTCAGTGTGCTATCTAACAAATTATGTGAGAATTTAAGCAATCAGAGAGCTTTCTAAAAAACCCTTAAAATTACAATTCAAACTGAATCGATAATTCAAGATGTAGATAACTTACCATTAATAAATTTTGTATGTTTCTAGTAACTGATGTCATGATCTATGAACATAAAAACTGCTTAGTGCATAATGATACGAGCTGCTTTTCCTAAGTACTGCATATACTGGGTGCATACAAAGGTAACTGAATTTGGTTGGCTTTACTGGGAAGATGTATTTACAATATGAAACAAGAACATGATGACAGTGATACTGGCCAACATGCCATTTACAACTGCTCAAAATGCATCTTTGAAAGCACTTTTGAGGCCTGGAATAGTCTGAAGGTCTTTGATAGAGCTAAATTGTAACAAACTGCTGCAAGATGAAATTACAGTCAAAAGTCGTTAATTCGGACACCCATAATCCGGACCTCAAAGCTAAAATCTTTCTGCGCATGCGCCGCATTGACGCATGCGCATAGGCGTTTTACTCGTGCACCCAAGACATTTACGACTGCGCATATGCGTCTGCGCAAGTGCAGAATACGTTTTCGCGCGCGTTTAATGTATAACGGACGGTATAAGCTAAAATTATCTAATTATCTATTTCAGTTAATGTTGATGATTGCGTTGTTCCTTAATCTTCGAATTGGATCCGGCTTATTATTTTTTGCAAACAGACTGTAAGAGCAATTTTCTAAAAGTAAGCTTGAACTTTCGATTATGTCAAATAGAATTTCCGATGCTGGAGCTCCCAAAGGATCTAGAAAACGAAAGTATCTTTCGATGTCCATCAAACAAAAAAAACGAATTGCTACAAAAAATGGATAAAGGCATATTCTTTGTTTATCTAACCATTCCGAAATCTGTTTAACAATTTCATGCTGCTCTGTGGGGGGGGGGGCATCGCGCCGCGCAATGAACTGGAAGTTGATTTGTCAACACTATCGTTATCTTCAGGGCAGATGTTTTTATTTTATTCGGCTTATAATTCCTTACTAAATGTAGAATTTAATTTCGATGTACTCCGTCTTTGATATGATTTAAATCAAATTCCTTGTCATTATAAATATCACGAATACAAATCAAATAGTTTTCTAGTTGCAATTTTCTAATTTCGGCTATGCGTAAGGTATGCTTTACGCATCCGCGCGTTGAAAGAAATGTTTAATAAAGTAAACAAATAAATATTAGGCTTCTTTTTTGGTAAATTTTGATACCCTTTAGATCATAATTGCTCATTATTTTATAAATTACGGTTTCATATTTTTAATTTTATAATTTCTGCATGCCATCTTACCAGATTTAAACTGATGATCTATAATCCGGAACCGCTGAAGTCCCGATGAGTCCGGATTAAAGACTTTTGACTGTACTTGAATATGCAGAACAATTCTGTGAAGCTTGCTGATTCAGATAATTATATAAATTACATTTATTCAAATTGATTGATGACACAGGAAAAAAGTAGAATTTACTTTGTAGATCACATGCACGGTATTTTTGCTCTAGACCAACAGTTCCCATGCTTTTTAGCTCGCACAGCACTTTTTTGAATCAATTTCTATGGTGGAGTCCTTTATTTTACAGGCTTACTTTATGCCTTATAAATTAATAATGTTTAGTAGTTGAGTTAGAAGGATGAAGAGGAGATAAATAATAAAAGAATGTAAAATAAAACATATCCAAACATCAGCATTATTCTATGTAATGAAATTAATTTAAAAACTTTGAAACTGATTACATTTCTGAATCTGATCCCAATAACAGAACAGTACCAACTAAGTTACTTGAAAAGCATCACTGATCATTACAAAAATACTGGACAGTGAAACAATTAGAATGTACCCTAAAGCAAATATAGGTAGCATAGTTTTTATAAAAATTTAAAGGAATTGCAAGCTAGGCCGAGGATGAAGCTAATAGGAAAACTTTGTCAATTAGCTTTGGTGTTGCACCAGCAGTTTTGTTTATATTATTCTTATAGTTTAAAATAAGTAAATGCAAAATGTATAATTAATGGCTGTACAATTTATTTATTTTTTGATTGAGTAGTATACTTTTAATGAATGTTTTACACTGTTTATATATTCCAGATGAGAAATAATCAACTTTCAAATACTATAACATCACCAGTTATCATTGCTGTCATTCCACACACTTTTTTTTTTCATAAATAATTTTGTTTTACTCTCCTGATTTGTGATAGCTCAATCATTATACAATAAACAAATATAACTTTTTTTTAGATGGGGCCTGGCTAACCTACTCTCTGTTAAGTGGGAACCTATTGTAATTCCATAATAAAAAATTACAAATTCTGCAAAATACTACACTTCTGCAAACTGTAAGCACTAGAAGGTTTGTTAGAAACTATAAAATTCAATAGGATTAGTTGTTGCATTTGTTAGGCCACATTGCCAGCAGCTTAACATGGAGAATAAGTTCATTAGTTACATAAATCAATATTCAAAAGAAAACTCATCATTAAGAATGACAAAACTATGCAACATGGTTTTAAAAAACAATATTTACATCACAGTGTCAACAACTTCATTAAGTACAAATGAACATAAAAAAAAGGTCAGTCAGAACTTTTACTTTTTGGCAAAATTCTGTCAGATACCATCTGCAGTCGCTACTGTTACTCAACATATTTTTTTCTTTTTATTAAGGGAGATTATGTAGACAGGTTTGTTTTATACTTGTGGTTTGTGATAGTAATTTTTCCATGAGAGCTCATATAAATACCAGTTTACATAAACAATTAAATAATATTTGCTTATAATATATATTTATATATTGTTTCATAAGAAAAAATTGAATTTAATTAAATAAATTAATTAAATTTAAATACAAATTTAATTAAATAATTCTTTGCACCATTGCTGCAAGGAATAAAATTTAAATTTAAACAAATTAAATTGAAATTTTAACAAACACATATAAAAGTAAAAAAGCAAATTTAAAGCCAAAAAAATTTTAAAAATTATTTAAAAAAAAATGTGTAAACATATAAAAGATTTAATTCTCAAACTAATCTACAATATCATTTAAATTCAGAAGCATAAGCAAATCAAGTGCAAAACCAATCCATGAAAATAAATTCACTAATTTAGCAAATTAAAATTAATCCAAACAATTTTTTAAAAAATGCATAAGTGAATGACTGTTGAGCAGGCAGGAGACAGACTTATCAAGGGAAAGTTGCCTCCAAACCTAACTCTCCAATCATTCAATTCGTGTTTCGTCATTCATGCAGGCAAGGGTAAAAGTCAAAACCAAAAGTAAAAAGTGAAGAATGTCCAAAAAGAAATACCAATAAAGTGGTACCCTTAGAAATTAGCATTTAAGAATTAAAGTTTTAAAAGGAAAATACTAATGAAGTCTTTTGAGAAACAAGCAAGTAAAGTCAAGTATTAAATTAAATTAAAAAAAAAAAAAAAGAAGAAGAAACTAATGTATTTTAGAAACCCTTGTCTACAGAAACCTCCCCGACACGAATATGCATATCAATAAAAAGAAACTAAAAAAGAACTAGACATAATCCATATAAACCAATAAGAAACATAAAGAACTAATTCACAATTTTTTAAAAACAAATATATACTTAAAAATATAATTTCATATTTAGAAAATACTTAAATACTACATAAAAAATTTAAAAAAATACTTAAAGCAAGTAAATAGTAAGTTTTAATTCTTTTTTAAAAATTTTTTGGCTTTAAAAATTTGCTTTTTTTAATTTTGGCTTTAAATTTGCTTTTTTACTTTTATACGTGTTTGTTAAAATTTAAATTTAATTTGTTTAAATATATATTTATATATATATATGAGGGTCACTCTGAAATTTTTGAAGTGCACATTGGTTTTTAAAGTTATACTTACGAAAATTTAGGAATGTTCAAAGTAGTCTTATCCAACATCAATGCACTTCTGTAGGTGAATTTTCCAAAGATTGAATGCCTCAAGCCATTCAGTGCTTGGAATCAATGAAAAACATGTATTTATAACTTCATCAATCTCATCTTCGGAATGAAAGCAACATCCATGCAAGTTCTTTTTTAGATTAAAAAATAGCCAAAACTCCTATGATAAAAACATAGCTACATCAGGTGAATAGTGTAGATGTTTTATCACTCTGATGCATTTTTTTTTGTTCAAGAAACTCAACAGTCAGTCTTGCTGAATGAGAAGATGAATTGTCGGGTGGAGCACGAGTCCTCTGACATTCATGTCTTGAAGAACTTCTGGAAAACATTTAGTGGTTTACAATTAGCTGTGACTGTGTTCTGTCCTTCCAGCTTGATGGCTTTGACTAAGCCTGCACTTGTGAAGAAAACAGCATACATTACTTTTTCATGGCACATTGTCTTTTTACATTGTGGGCTTGGGATCATCTTTAAAAACTCATACTTTACTTTTTGATATGTTAGAATGTCAAAAAATGGTATGTACGCTTCATCACCAGTTATGATTTCCGAAATAATGCAGTGGCCACCATCTTTAAGTAATTTAAGAGTTTCTTTATTGATTCTGACATGCTCCTCTTTTTTATCCTTAGTTAAATTATGAGGAACCCAATGGCAAACTAGTTTTTTTCAATTCACGAATAATTATATGTATGGCAGTGGATCCAATGTTAAGTTCCTTTTGTATCATTTGGTAGGTGCAGCGATTATCATCGATTAACATTTTCCGTATGTCAGACACATTATCCGGGATTACTTCTGACAACGGCCTTCCTGTGTGTTCTTCATTCTGAAGAGAGTTGCAAACCCCTGTAAAATTCTGTAAACCATCTGAATACATTAGCACAAGATGGACCTTCATTTACAAATGCTAACAGTAGATGTTGAATGCATTCTTCTTGATTTAATCCCACTTTAAAATCATAGAGCGATAATGTGCTTTTGTCAACTCCATTTTTCCTTTTGCCTAAAAGAGCCCACTAGCGGCCGAGCGGCAAAATCACTGAACATTGGTAGTTCGGTCGCAGGTTCGAATCCCGCGAACGGGCTGGCTGCATGGGCATTTTCGTGGTTTTTCCCATGTGTAACGTGTATACGAGCCAGTTTCATTAGAAAGTCCTCCACGAAGGCATCCCTCCCTTTAGGCAGATAGCCCTAGTGTGCTTTGCCGTAATCTTAATAAACCAAACCAAACTAAACCAATCTTTTGCCTAAAATTTATTCTATACTAAACTTGTTGCAATTCACCAATAATAAATCGTCTGCTGGGCAAAAATAGTTCAAATTTTCAAATCTAACCATTAATTTTTTTTCTGCCAATTATAGTCGGCACATATCTAAAAATTTTCAGAATGACCTTCACATACACATACATACATATACTCATATCATAAAAGAGAGAGAAGGATATGGAGATTTACATGCAGATGTCATGCAGATTATCATATAGAACTTTATACAAACTCACAGAACAAATATATTTTTAAAAGTTTATAGCAATATTACAAAGAATAATTACTTTATAAGTTGAAACTAGCATTTCATTTTGCAATAAATGCTGCGAAGCTAATTCCTCTTGTGCTGCACGAAGCCTATTTTTTTCAAAATTTATTTGTTGTAATCTGAAATAAAAAACAAACATCTCTATTATTTGTAGAAAACTTATTTAAAATGAAAAGAAATAAAACAGATAGATAAAATGAACATATTATATAATTACTGCAATTTATATACCATCATTTTTAGCCTTAAAATAGTACAGTCAAAAGTCGTTAATTCGGACATCCCTAATCCGGAATGATCTATAATCCGGACCTCAAAGCTAAAAACTTTCTGCGCATGCTCCTCATTGTCACATGCGCATAGGCGTTTACGCATGCGCGTAAGATTTTTACGACTGCGCATATGCGTGTGCGCAAGCGCAGAATACGTTTTCGCCTGCTCGTTTAATGTATTACGGACGGTATAAGCTAAAATTATCTAATTATCTACTTCAGTTAATGTTGATGATTACGTTGTTCCTTAATCTTCGAATTGGATCCGGCTTATTATTTTTTTAAGACTGTAAGAGCAATTTTACAAAAGTAAACTTGAACTTTTGATTATGTCAAATAGAATTTTCGATGCTGGAGCTCCCAAAGTATCTACAAAACAAAAGTATGTTTCGATGTCCATCAAACAAAAAGTGGAATTGCTGCAAAAAATGGATAAAGACACGAAGAAGGTGACAGAGAGGTTAGTGAAAACGAAAAAATTTCGATTGACAAGTTAGTCGGTATTCTCGGCACAGCAATTACGGGACTTGAACAGCGGAACTTTGTAACCGAACAAGAAATTATGTTTGTTTAATAGAATTAAAGAGAAAGTATTATCACATAAAACGAAGCAACTTAAACAACTTACATTGAAAAAAATGTTTAATAAAGTAAACAAATAAATATTAAGCTTTTTTTTTTTTTTTTTTTGTAAATTTTGATACCCTTTAGATCAAAACTGTTCTTTATTTCATAAATTAAGGTTTCATATTTTAATTTTAGAATTTCTGCATGCCTTCTTACCAGATTTAAACTGATGATCTATAATCCGGAATCGCCAAAGTCTCGACGAGTCCAGATTAATGACTTTTGACTGTATAAACACAGCATGCATACTTTCAACAAAAAATTTCTCTTTTAAAAAGTAAATGAGTGATATGAAATGAAACAAATGCTTATACATTAAATTGTAATCATCTTAGAACTCTACCTTATATTTTAGAAAGAAAATAAAATTTTTGAAAAGGAAAAATATAAAAGCAGAAATATAAATTCTGATATACATCTTATAGCATGTCATGTTTGTTGTAAATGATGGTGATAAAAGTATATGAAGGCAGCAATTGAACATTTTCTTTTTTTTTTAGCGTAATGTGTATTAAACATATATAACCAAATTGGCACAAGATGCACAATCAGTATTCAAGAATACTTTATACTTACTTTTCACAGATCCACATAATTATAATTGGTAATAGATGAGAAATGGCAGACAATACTTTAGTAGCATGAGATTAGTGTGAAGATTATGATACGAGATCTTAAAACAGAAAAGCAATGTTTCTGCTTTTCGTTGGTTTAAAACTTCAAAGTTTGAACGTTTTTCGTTACTACTGGTTAAATGACTTCAGCTTCACCCCTGTTGTTATATAAGTACATATGCATTATGTAAAAATCATATAAAAAGGGTTACTTTTCAGATGATTCACTTAAGAAAGATTTATCAAAAGCCTGTTACTGTTTTGGGGAAATAGCCAAATTAAAGACTTCTCTAGCTGTCATTATTATCATCTACAACAGACACGAAAATTTTTATTTCACACACACATAACCTCCCATTGGCAGACTAATTCGGCAAACACCTTTATGCATCTTCAGAGAATGTATGCTTAATGGAAATGCATTGGTCTCCTTTGAAGGTTTGAGGATTCATGAACTGTCCATTAATCTGAAGTGTTTGTTCACAGAACTTTAAATGAACATAGACAGCAATAGTTTACTAACAAGCACATTAGGTAGAAGAGATTAGTTTTGCAGATCTAAATATAACTTTTTCCATTAAAGATCTGAATATATAGATTTTAAGTCATTAAATACAGAGGAAAGTCTGAGAATAATGAATTAATTATGTTTTATATGAAAGAATTCAGTCTTTCTTTTACTCAAAACAGACTTTGGAAGAATGGTCATATAAATTTATATTTTGCTAATTTAATACACTGATGGTATACCAATGGATGAAAATCTACAGCTTTCTGGAATACATCTACTATTACATAAGAAGCCTCACATATTTATGTAAATAAATTTTATGTTATGACATTGATACATTTTATATTATAATATTGATATGCATAGAAAAATCAAATTTTACATCTACTACATAGCTTCAAATGATTAAATGGAGTTTAAAAATATCAGTACTTATCTAGTAGATGTCACAGTTTCTGAATTACACAGATGTTTCAGAATGTGCCAAATTCTGGTAACCATGCACCTAACACTTCTTCAGCTTTTAACAAGCAACATTACCTTTTTTATATGCATTCCTTTTTTGTATTTCTAATTCCAATATTGCTATATATAAATCATCACATTTTTATTGTCTTTCAAAATATGCACTTATCATGGCAAAATTATTATGAAATATTCTTGCAGTGAAGAAATTTTTGTAAAATTTTTGCAGGATAAAACCATTTTTCCTACCAGAATTATAAATTTCTACCAGAACAAAATCTCACAAAAGAAGTTAACGGATTGGTTTTTGACAAAAATACTTAACTAAAACATAAACTATGTAATAATTTGTATGTATGTTATAAATAATATTTTGAGTTATAACCATATTGCACCAAGATGGCTGTGATATTTATGTAAATATAAAAATATGTCTTTTACTTAAAAGCTAGTAATATTTTCCCTAGGCTCCTAAAAAGAGTGCCTACTTTCTGTGTATACTAGGACTGTACATGAAGGTTCATGTTACAAATGATGAATATGGTAGCAATGTCTGTATGCAACAGCTATTATAAGAATAGATTTTTCAAATTAATCTTATTGCTTAGTTAATGAGTACTAAACTGGTTTAAATTATAAAAAATTTACACATCAAAACACATTTAAATTTGACCTTCACAAAAGCTTATTTAATTATTAATTACCTTTGGTGCCATTCAGAATCTTTCTTCTCGTTATCATCAATAGCTTTGTTATACCTCTGCAATAGGTTATCATGTTCTTCTTGCAATGCTTCATATTCAAGATTCATTGCAGTCAACTTTTCACTAAAAAATTATAAGGCAGAAAAATGCTAATTAATATTGTGAATAACTATACAAAGTTACTGTAATATTAATATGGTAATAATATATAACTCTTACAAATCTTCAGTCTCAATTTTATTACTTACAATACAGATTAGAGAAAATATAACTATGTGAATAATTTCTTGTTTACTTATTTTAAACATAATTTTATGTTACATTTTATAGAATTAAAAACACACACACAAACATACTAATCACAGTAAAGTAGTTATCAAATTAAGTTTGAGGAACAGAATGATACTATACACCGTGAAGATGGCATCTGTCCAAGTTTGTGCCACATGGAATTGAACGTCATTTCTATGGAAATCAGTTACATTGGCATGCAAGTATATATATATTTTTCTTTTGTTACAAGATATTTTGAATAGCACAGTATTACATATGAACATTCATATTACATAAATGAATACTATATATATGGGAAATTACATTGTATGTATACATATACAAAGTCTTTAATCCGGAAGTCCATTATCAGGAATGATCTATAATCCGGACCTCAAAGCTACAAACTTTCTGCGAATGCGTCGCGTTGACGCATGGGCGTAAGACCTTTACAGCTGCGAATTTACGCATGCGCATATGCATTTACGCAAGCACATAATAAATTTACACATGAGTGTTTAATGTATAATGGACAGTATAAGCTAGGCTAAAATTATCTAATTATCTATTTCAGTTAATGTTGCAGATAGCATTGTTCCTTAATCTTCTAATTGGATCTGGCTTATTATTTTTTGCAGCAATTTATAATGTTAGAGCAATTTTATAAAAAGTAAGCTTGAACTTTCGATTATGTCAAAAAGAGTTTCCAGTTCTGGAGCTGCCAAAGGATCTACAAAACGAAAGCATGTTTCGATGTCCATCAAACAAAAAGTGGAATTGCTGCAAAAAATGGATGAAGGAAGGCATGAATGGCATGAAGAAAGTGACAGAGAGGTTAGTGAAAACGAAAAAATTTCGATTGACATGTTAGTCTGTATTCTCGGCACAGCAACTACAGGACTTGAACAGCGGAACTTTGTAACTGAACAAGAAATTATGTCTCTTTTTAGAATTAAACAGAAAGTATTAGCACATAAAATGAAGTAACTTAAATAAATAATTTACATTGAAAGAAATGTTTAATAAAGTAAACAAATCAATATTAAGCTTTTGTTTTTGTAAATTTTGATACCCTTTAGATCATAATTGCTCTTTATTTCATAAATTATTATTATTTATGAATATTTATTTTATAAATTACGGTTTCATATTTTTAATTTTATAATTTCTGCATGCCATCTTACCAGATTTAAATTGATGATCTATAATCCGGAAAACCCTTATCCGGAATCGCCGAACTCCCAACGAGTCCGGATTAAAGACTTTGTAGTATATGCATATGGCAGTGCATTAAATGAGCACTACATTTGGTGCATAAATAAGTCAAATGTGCTAACATTTAAGTGATGACAATCAATGTGGAAGAAAGATTTATTACACTACAGATATATATCAATGACATTATGCAACACTGTTTTTGGTATTTCATGTGTTAAATTGGCATATTTACTATAAGGAATGAACACTTATATTACAAAAGTTAGATAACTGTATGTAACAACATATTACACCAGATGAGTACAAATATTTGTATATGTCAAGAAGTTGATTCAATGGAACAAGGATTTTTATAACAAAATATTTAAATAACAACATAAAAAAATTAAATACTTATATTACAGGAGCTGAAACCATAATTTAGCTACTTGGGGAATGACTGCGATGGGAGCTGTTCCAGATTATTGGGTTGTAGCGCAATATATAGTGACAGCATGTAGTTTTTGACAACATTGTTATTTTGAGTATTATTTCACTACGCTGCGCGGAATATGGGTGCTGGTTTTTTAGATGGAACTTCTTCGTCAAGTAGCATTCAAAGTAATAGTGGTCTGGGCGACAGGACTAATGCTATACCTTTAATATAATTAAGAACATTATAAAACTTTTCCTCACTTATTACAATAAAGCAAATGTTGGTAATTACTCCAGCCATGTACAGGAGGTACATGTGGATTGGACTGTACAGGTATAGTCCTGTAGCACTAGCCATTAAGCCCCAATTTATAATGAACATGATAATCTTCTATGTTCCTTTCGCTAACATGAACCTCTGGGCAAGGCTTTCAGTTTGTATATTTCAATTGCCTTTTTTGCGCTACACTTACCACTGCCTTGCCTGGGATTTGAACCCGAGCCCAACGATATAGTAGTACCACTATACTGATTAGGGTTGGTATTGGCCATATATTTTTCCATTCAATAGTTATCTCAACCAGCTGTGAATGAACTTGGTGCAAACAGAAATGTGATTCGACAGCCCTCGAATTGTTCTTTTTTTTCAATTGATATTCTCTTTATCGCAGTTTTTCACACTCAACTGCTATTCATATGTAGAATTCTTAAAAAGAACTATCAAACTATTTAATCTGCAAAAGAAATTTAGAACAGTACAAATTTCATTCATAATAAATATTGCTCTTTAGGTGATTCAAAATAAGACTAATGAGCAAGAATTATATTAAAAGGTTTAATTTGATACAGTCCAATAACGTTTTAACTATATTAGATAAGAACTCATAAACAGATATATTAAAAAATGTAGGTTGATACATCAGATAACAGGAGTAAAATAATTGTTGCAAGAAAAATAGAGATTACAGTAAATATTCATGTTTTAAGAAAGCCAATTTTTATATTACATACTATTTAACCTTTTAATCAACAAGTTCAGCTCACATTCCAGTTATGCATCGCAGTGGACAGAAATGACACAGCTCATATTACTAATCTAGAATTGACAGATATCGCATGGATTTGGGAAAAAAGAATTGCTTAATCTTGCAATTGTTAAAGGGTTCTAACATGAAATTTTTATTATTTGAGAAGACTGATTTGTACTTTTTAAAACTTTCTGGATTTTTTGAAAATGTTCATAATTCTCTGATTAAATGATAGGATGCCAGACATCAAAAAAAGTTGTTGCAATTCAAAATTTTCAGTTCTTTTGTGCTCAAATGAAAAAAAAAATAATTTATTTCAAAACAGAATCATTTGTGAAAATATTTAAATAAACTGCTTAAGTGATTGCTTGTTGTTCCTAAAATTGCTATTTATTTTTAAGTATTTAATTCTTTACAAAACATGCAAATTTATATATGTGAATATCTGAAGGCTACATTTTACTAAAATTGAAAATCACTTAGCTATTAAAAATTTCCTGTATGTTTAAAGTTTTAGAAATCTATTTTAAGGGAGAGATTAAGAAGTAGCATGTATTCACATAGAATTCAGATGCATATTTTTAGGTATATGTTATAATTAGAACCAAACAAGAATATATCAGGGGTGGTGTGTACTTATATACGATGGTATGCAAATGAAAATGATAGAAATATAAAAATAAATAATTTTAAAAACTAACGTGCAAATTGAGTGCTTTTATAGAAAAACAAATAAATTAAATACAAAAAGTAAAAATAAAAGAATAATTTCCACGAACCAGTGGAAAAATTTATCATAGATGCAAATATTACACGGCCCATTTTCAAATTTTGATTACATATGCTGAATTATATTAATGCCATATATATACTGTTTCTTAAAGTCTAACATTAGTTTGATCTTCGATAATAAAATCATTTCCTTCACTTGTTCATTTAGATTTCAACCGCTTTCAAAGCATTTTCCCATATTAGGAATACCTCAGATATTGTTTTTGTTTAACCAGTTAAATAAAGAATAATTTCATTTTCAAAAATGATGCACAAAAATATACTATTTTTCGTATACTTAAATTTTATAAATTGCTTATATAAAACAGAAAACTGTGCAAGTTATTCTGCATATACGTACTAAATGATTTAACCCCTTTGAGCCGGGTAGCGAAAACGCGCGCTTATCGCGGAGGCCGTCAGTGTCTTCCACGAGCGTCTCTCCAGGGCCGGGGGCTTTTTTGCTACTAAGCCTAAACCCATGAAATTTCCGAAGTATCAACGCATTGTTTAATAATGCTCTATAGAGTATTTAAATGGCTTATGCTTTATAGATATTTTTATATATATACTTTAATTACCTTATTTCTTGTTTAAATGCATATTTTACACATTTTGTTTTAACTACTCACCATTTTATGACTTTTAACATTATACATCTGAAAACTAAATATATTACTTAAAATTTTCTTTTCATATGAAAAATTTTAAAACAGGGATCTACACACAGTCCTACATTACATTCCTTGAGCTCGTAATAACTCATTTGCCGTTTTGGAGGATTTTTCCGGGAATGTGAACAAACGAAGCATTGTCGTCTCATTTTCTTATCAGTCTCTTCTGAACAAAGTTTTGGAAAATGTCTTTCAGTTAATCTTTCAGAATCAATATCTGAAATATTTTGCATCATTTCTGCTATTTCATGCTCTGTTAAACATTTTCGACGCTTCGACATTGAAACGGTAAAAACAGAAAGAATTCACGTCTAACAAGATCTAATTATTTTCTAAAAACTGGACTGTAAACCAAAATACTCAACGCTTTAGCGCATATAAAACTTCTACTTACAATAAACAACTACCACGTGCGAATAAAGTGCGATTTAAAGAGACGTCATAAATCACGCCATTCGGAAACATTTAGTTTCCCGTTTTGTTTATATAATCAAAAACACGTGTATGTGAGTCATGCTTCTCTCATTTCGAATAGAAGGTCTAATGTACATGTATCTGAAACCATATGGACATACAGTGCCATCTTGTGGCAGAAATTATAGTTTGAAAAACGTTCCAAGGTACTGGCACAAATACGTGACAGTCGGTAGTAAACGCAACAATGCTCTGCCACGCCTGCGTGTCGGCTGGTAGATAAGTGTGTTCGTTGCTGGCACGTATACGTGACAGTCGGCGTGAAGGGGTTAAACATTAGTTGTTGAAAGCTCAATAAAATTGCACCCCCACCAAATTTAGTATAGCATTCACTGAAAATCACCTACTAATTAAAATTATATGCATATATACAATTTGAATGAATATATACAGCTGCATGAATCTAACTTTCCAGTTATTTATAATTATACACATTTTTTCCTCCACAAAAGTTTTTCTGACATAGATTTTTGCTCAGCTGCAGAAGAAAGTAACACTATGAAATATTCTTAATTACTCAGGACTGTCAAGAATTAATAATACTTATTGACTTCAAATGTGACAACACAAATTAATTCACAATTACTGCAATAAGAAATATATGTTATATTTAGCAATTTTTAAATCTACTATTAACAAAATAGAATCACTTAGTATCTAAATCCATTAATCAATCTTTCTAATATTAAAATTAATTAATATTAAATACTGGTGATAATACTTTTTTTTAGCAGAAATAATGTTTTCTATAAAAAGTTTGATACAATTTTACATATATAGATACAGTACAAAGTCTGCGATCTGGAACCACCTGCACTTCGGCAATTACAGATTTGAGAAATTTCCAGATTTTAGATCATTATTTTAAATCTAATGAAATGATATACAGGCATAGCAACACTAGGACTTCACTTTTTTTTAGATCAAACAGAAAAAATGCTAACTCCCCTCATGATCAATCAAGAGTTCAAAAGTGCTTTTCTGGCCAACATCAATATGTCAATGGCCTTCGCCCTGCTCCCTAAACAGCAGGGTATTTGAAAGTGATGTGCTTGCAAGGAATCTCAATTATTGGGAATAAAAATGGCATTTATAGCATATCTGCCTCCTCTTGCTAAGTATTATATTGTCCATTCCTAGACTCTGTAAGCATGGAAGGGAGTTTTTCTTGTTATTTTGATTTTACTTAAGCATTTAATTACTTATTGGATAAGCGGTCTGGAGGTCGGGATTTTAGATCACTCCGGATACTGGATGCTGGGATTTTGGACTTTGTACTGTATACATTAATAGAATAAATGGTATTAATTTCCTTATAAGTTTCTAAATGCAAAAAAAGTATTTAACCTTAAGTCTTTTACTTGAATTTTAAGTTTCTCATTTATGGTCTCAAGTTTTTCCTTTAAATCTGGTTCAATAGGCATGAATGTTGGAGTAGATGATTTCTGTTGTTTCAATACACTATGAACTCGAATCTGTTGCAAGAAATATACATTTTAAAAATTTAACAAAACACAAATAAAAGTTATTACATAAAATGCAAATAAGATGTTTATGAAATTATGTATCACACACATATATTAAATATAAATTAGCTTTAGAAACAATAGAGAACCTTATAGTTTTCAAATTCTTGCTTCACACTTTCAACTTCTTTATGAGCAATAAGAATCTCTTGCTTCTGGCTTGAGATTCTTGATTCAAGTGATCTTGTAATCCTCTGGTGATTTTCAGATGACGTTTTTATCACATCTTTCAAATGTTGTACTTCTGAAGACAGTTCAGATAGTTGCAACTGTATTTAAAAATTTAGAAATTATTAACTAAGATATATACACAACTTTATGAAAAGGAATTCACAGAAGCAAATAAAATATCATTATTACAATAATAATTCATGAAAAATTAGCTAGAAATTACAGTTTTTTCCTTTACATTTTACTTGCTTAAGTACCTATTTTATACCCGTCTGGTCATATGCTCTTTAAGTGCATTTTTTAACATTTGTAAAGAACTCTTAGATAGCAGAAAGATCTAAAGATTGCGCTACCGGCTTTCCTCACTCATTCGGAAAAGGTGAATTTGTGACTAGACAGGGCAGGCCCTTCTGGTAGCCATCGGTGAAGCAGTGATGTCACATGATGTTGTCTGACTTTTGAACTAGCATACTTGCTACCACTGTGGAACTCTGCCTATGTATCTTATGTTGAATGACTTATATATGATGTTTATCTTGGTTACTTATGCATATGTGTTAAGCTAGAATATATTTCTAAGCTAATTAAAGTGACAGATGTAAAACCAGGTATATAATCTTCATCCTTGCATTAACCCCTTGTAGTGGTCCCACCCTGAAAGCACCAATTTTTGAATTTTTTCCCTCTCTTCTTTCCATAATTTTTGAGTGAAAATCGATTGATTATTTAACTTTTACCTTTAAATAACACAAAATTACTGCAGAACCAATGCATTTTTTAGGTCTTAGTATTTCAAACCGGACACCTTTTAAAATTTATTTTCAGTTAAACTAAATAACTTCCTTTTATTAATACAAACAACTTTAAATTTCAAAAGTTATTCATCCCACATCATCATTTCTATCATAAACAATAAAATCTAACAATAACTAAACTGCATATATAAACAACCTGTGTATATTTATGGCATTGTTTTGTGCTTTCAGGGCATGACCACTGAGCCACTACAGCACTGTGTCACAATACTCACAAAGCTCAAGAGGCTTAGTGGTCGTGCCCTAAAATCACTGCACTTCACAATGGTATATGCTGCTTTCAAATAGGAGTTTTTATTTTCACCCAGATATAGATAAGAGGCTCCACAGATAACCACAGAGTTATTTTATTACCAAACCAGATAAAATGTCTTTAATTTCCAAAGATTTTTCTCTAAGCTCAACACGCTTGCTTCCTATTCCAGTACTGTGATTTTATAAATTATTTTGTGTGGTTTAAATATATTTTGCTGTAATTAAAAATAGAAAACGTGTTAATGTTTCATTAAAATTAAAAATATTTTATAAATATTTTGGGATGAAGGATCCATACTAAAGCTAAAAAAGATGAAGTTCTCATATTGACATAAAAAACCACAAACTTCATGTGCCAGACGAAAAGAAACTAAAGAATGCTGGGCACAGGCCAGTAAATCCCAGCACTGTACATTTTGCAACACAAGGGAGAAATCTCACTGAACAAGACACATGTGAAAAAAATGCAATGTGGGTCTATGCATGCATCAAAAAGACAAAACATGTTTTGAACAGTTTAACAAAAAAAGACTTAGCTCTTTGACAATAATAATAATAATAATAATAATAATAATAATAATAACAATATAACAATAATAATAATAAAATCACTGAGGTTTTTTTTTAGCCTGACTTTACTAAGATTTTTAATCCATTTAACTGAACGTCGTTATTATGTACGTTCTTAGGTTTTTCACTGCCACAGAAAAATTACATAAATGTTTATTTTTTCATTTCTTCTGAAGATCTTACTTTTTAAAAAATTTACATAAAATGCAATTCTTAAAAAGCAATTTTTTAAAAAAAATTGCAAATTTCATCATTTATTGTAAATGTGCATGGAAAATGCCAAGTCCGCCCCTACTACATCAGTATATTTCATAGTCCTAGGTGTGCACTAATTTTACCACCACCCACAAAATAATAGACAAGAGTAGATTATTTTTAATTCATATATTATTTGTCTCTAGGATCATAATACTTGATTTCTACAGAATTTTAGTTAAAGCATTATAAAAATAGTGTTGCATGCATCAAACAGTTAATACATGCCAATATGGAATGGTGACTCTAGACTCGACTAAAGCTAGACGTGGCATGGGGTACACTAGCATTTCCATTTATCCCCTTCGACTGCACCCCATCACATCCTTACTAATGGGTGGCTGGCATTTATTGGGTCCTTCTTGAGTATCCCCCACCAACATTTCCTCCTTAATCCCCTATCTCTGCAATGGTCTACACTGATGACCTACTATATCTACTGCATTATATTAAATTACACAATCCCAGCTGAAATACCAAGCATCACTCTAGTTTTATGCAGAGTAAAGTAGCTTCATTTAGGAGGATAGAGGTATTTTTCACAAAATCACAAATAGACAGTGATTTTCCTCTTATTTTAGTTCAAAGTGAATTGCACAAAATTTTAGTAAGCTTGAATGAAACTGTAGAACAAAGTAGAAATATGTAACAGTTTTAGTAAGAACTGGTACTTATTCTGTTATTGGTTAAGTCTTCTTTTTTCAGAAATAAGCTTTTGAAAAATCATAATACACTTTGGCAGATTTCTTTACCATTTTTGAAATATTTATAAAAATCTGAACAAGTGCACTTAAATTTTGCTTTAAAAATTCTACACTGTTCTAAAGTAAACTAACAGTTTTAGTAAGACTGAAAGAAGAAACATGACAACGATTTTGAAAAACTGATACGCTAAAATAATTTTAAAATTCAAACATTTAAGAAATATTTATTTTTTGTAAAGAAGCAATTATAAATACTCTGCTTAGCATGTATGACTTCCACTAATAGCAGAAATGCAACTATGGCAATGTGAACCTAAGATGTGCGATGCAAGCACAACATTCTAATATAAACACTCTGATTTTTTTAAACATTGTGTAGACAGTAATATTCCTCTTATTTTGAAGGTCCACACATGCAAAATTTCATCAAGATCAGAATAAAACTGTAGATTTGTATGAATACCACAGATACAAATACATAAATAGAAACTTTTCTTCATATATATATATATATATGAGAGAGAGAGAGAGAGAGAAATGATTTTAATGAATCCAGTTAGTGTAATTTCATGGGTTAGTAGTTACTAATAAATAAAATGAAGCTGCACTTATTGCTTTTAAATCATTTAGTTTGTTAACGAATAAGAGAATAAATTCAAAAGAAGAATTATATTTTTTACATTTTGTTGAATGACAAAACACTGCTGTGCGGAAGATAAGAAATATTTTACTTTTAGCAGTTGCAACACATTTCTTTTAAACTATGACTTTTTTTAATTTATGGACTTTCTTTAGGAATGACTAACGATACATGCCCTCACTGCATTATACACTGCCTTCCAAAAGTTAAGGAACAGTATGTTTTCTCATACTGTTTCTTAACTTTTGGAGTTCACTATTACAAAAATGTCAGTAAAGTTTAAATTCACAGTTCATATGCATGACAGTATAATAAAGTTTATGAAAAATATATGCAAAAACAATAGCTATCACTTTTATTTTATAGAACTGAATACTCATATACGAGTCGGAGAAAAAATGCAAAAGTTGTTATTTTTGTTCATGAGTATTGATCTTCAGTTCTTATTACAGTTTCGAGGACAATATCCACGAGAGTCTATCAATGACCAGGAAAAGTCGTTTGCCGATTTGTTGAGGTGGCAGGCAATCAGATGGATGGAAATGGGGATGTCACAAGCTGATGCTTCTAGACATATCAATGTCTCTTGTAGTGTGGTCCACTGACTATGAAATCAGTCTGAATCCAAGGATTTTATGTCTAGAAGACATGTTCCAGGCAGATCTAGAGATACAACACTTATGGAATACCATTATTTAGCTCTTTCGGCTGAAGGAGAAGTAATATTACTATGCCTCAGCTTATGGTAAATCATTTAGTGGCAACCGAAACAAGAATCTCAGCTACTACAGTGTGCAGATGCCTGCACAATACAGGTCTGTATGCAAGATGACCAATTGTTTGCGTCTTCTTGACATAAGGACACAGAGGTGTCGTTTATGTTGAGCAAGAGAACAGACATGTCTGCCACCCATATACTGCTGCTATTAGTTCTGAATTTCTTCAGATGGATGACAATGCGTGACCGCACTGAGCTCGTGTTCCTGAAGAATATATTGAGGGTCACTTTATGGAGCGGATGGAATGGCCAGTTTAATCCACAGACCTGAATCCGATAGAGCATCTTTGGGACTACCTTGGCAGGCAGGTTGCTGCTTTAAGTCATCCTCCAAGGTTGTTTGATGAGCTTGAACAATAAATTACTCCATGTCTGGTCGTTGCTTTCCATTTCACTGATTGACAACTTAATTGACAGCATGGAATGTCGCTGCTACCAACGTATTGCAGATAGAGGTGAACACATTCCTTATTAGAAGCCATTTTTGTAATGTTACTACCCCATTTTTCCTCAAAAAACTGTGACATACTGTTTCTCCAAGACTAGATTTTTCTGCCAAGACTGCAACTTTTTTTTTTCTCTTGTAATCCATGTTTGTGTTGAACTTTAGAAACATTCTATGTCACATTCATTAAATAACTGTTTAGTGAACATGTCCTGTAAACTTCTTGTTTCTATGTTGCTTCATTCTCAAATTCGACACAACATGCTGTTCCTTAACTTTTGGAGGTCAGCGTATTATAGGTACTAAGTAGGGGAACAGAAAGGGATTACATGCTTTATATTATTGGCCAATGATCAAGCAAAACTTAAAAAGCTATAATATAAAATAACATTAAATAACTTGCCTTGTACTTTTCTTCCTGTTGAGTCATTATTTCTAGCTGAGTTCTAAGAGATGATAAATTACATTTCAGTTCTTCATCATGCTCACGAACTGTTGTTAATTCTGTTTTGGTTTTCTCTAAGACTTCTTTAAGATTTTCTGCACGTTTTTCTTCAGTATCTTTCAGCGTTTCAGTTGATTCTAAAATAAATAATTTTTAAAAAATGGGTTTTAGGGAAGAGGCTGGAGGGCATCTTTATTGATTATAAAATCTATTAATGACAATAAAAATTTTAATAAGATTAGAATTAATAATTTGCAAACATAACTTATGTTTGCAATTTATTTCAACTAAAAAAGCTCCATGCACTTTAAAAGATATCATATTACAATATTTATATTTTTTTCAATAGTAAATTATTCTGCACAAATTCAGCAGTTATCAGATTTAGTAAAATCTGAAAGTAATTATATTTCCAGCATATTTCATATAAAAGATGAACATTTATGGAACCTGTAATTAGTCAAAACCATCCAATCAACCAATGAAAAGAAACATGATTAGTAAATCAAATCCTTAGTAAGGCATGAAAATAAGAAATCGTTACTCACTGTATTAAGTGACCTGAATGAGATATAAAATACCTTTTGGTAAAAGCTACAAGTAGATACATATTTTGATTTTAAAACTAGAAATTGCCTAGAATCCTCTCCTTGCTAATTTTAACTCAATTCTAATCTTACTGTAGAAAATGCAGAGCCTTTCAAGATAAAATAGTAAAAACTATATAAGAACTTAATTTTTTATCATTTTATACAAAGATAGGCTGCTGAATTAAAACAAATAAATTTCAATATAAAGAACTCCATAATCCCAATTATTTTAATATTAATTATGTAAAATTATTCTTTAAGTCGATTCTAGGTACATGATTCTGAATGCTGTTTGATATTTCACTGTACAGCAGAACTGCATGCCCACTTCATGCTATTTAGAAATTTTAATAACTATATTTCTCAGCACAAAATTTGATGGAAATTAGAGAAATAAAACTAATGAAAATAACAGAAATTAATTTTTTCTCACGTCTGGCACAGAATGCATGTATCCTTAAATGCACAGAATGCATGCATCTTTAAATGCAAATGCAAAGTGCATTTAAGCAAACCTGATGTTAAATATTTATATTTACTCAGCATTTGGTATAAATTGGCAATAGTTCACTTTATGCAGCAAGCTGGTGCTACAAGTTTATTTTAATTTAATACCTGGTGGAAAAGCTATCTTATGTTGGCTTTTCTGGCAAAATATATGCAAGGCTATTCAAAATGAATATAGTGATTACCAATGTCTATAACTATTTAATTGAAAATAATTTATCGATAAGAATTATACAGAATGTAAAAGAAAGTTCAAAATTTTGTTTACCTACTTTATAAATTTATATTTTCTATATGACTCCCCTGGGTAACTCAGACATCTAAGCAGTAGTCCATTTCATGCCATACATTCTGAAGCATATCTGGAGTCACTAATGCAAGCACATTAGAAATGCACATTTTGAGTTCTGAAATTGTTTTCATCAAAGGAAGCACTTTGAGTTCTGAAATTCTTTTCATCAAAGGAAGCACATACACAAGGTCTTTCCATTATCTAAATCACAATCTATAAAGTTATGAGAAAGACCTTGTGTATGTGCTTCCTTTGCCAAAAACAATTTCAGAACTCAAAAAGCGCATTTCTTGCACTGATGACTAAAGATATGCTCAGAATGTATGGCATGAAGTGGACTGCCACTTAGATGTTGTCTGTTTTAACAACTGGATTCACACAAAACATGTATAAAGTCTGTAAACAAAATTTTGAGCTTCCTTTTACAACCTGTGTAATTCTTATCAACAAATTCTTTTCAATTAAATAGCTATAGCCATTTGTAATCACTATATTCATTTTGAATCACTTTGTATTTCTAAGCACAATTTGAGGCATTCATTATAGCACAAAACTGCATTTGTAAAATTTGCATTTGGAATGAATAAAGATAATTTGCATTGATATTATTTGTTGTTATTAGAAAAATTATTAAGCATTTAATACAATAAAATTAATAAAGGAAAATGTAAATTTCATATCTAAAAGTCATGAATTGATGCTATATGCAATACATACTAAAATAAAATTTGAAAACCATACAAATTCATTATTGCAGCAAGTAAGATAAAAATACATACTCAGTTCTTCTTGTAAGCTTTGTATTTTTTCCAAATGAGATTTTAATTCAATCTGCAATTCACTAATCTCATTTTCTTTTTTCTGGAGTTGGCTGTTTAATTCCAAAATACTTCTTTCATAATCAGCCATTTCTAAATCTAATAAATTCTTCTTTTTTTCTTCCTGGGGGGGATTGCTAACTTAGTCTTTTGAAAAATTTCTAAATTAGTCTGAACTTTAGCAATTTTTCAAAATTTTCTAGACATACATTCATGAGGAAGACATTAAAATTAATAAAATTCAGATTTAATTCTAATGATAAATAACAATAACTAAAAAATATAAATAACAACAATGGTAAAATTAACTATTTTTATTTTAGAACAGTGTGTTGATAAAAGTTTGAAATAGTAGTATCATCATTATTATTTTGATTTAATTTAATAATTGCTCACAACATAACTTAAGAGAGTAACAAATCTTCTATGTAACCCTCTGTAGTCAGATGTAATTTTAAGGTAATACTTTTTTTTTCTTCCCACATAAAAACTCAAACTGCACGTGGGCCGAATGCTCGATCTGAAGCAACTGATAAGCCAGATCATTTTTTTAACAAAAACAAAAATAAATAAATAAATTTTAAATTACACTTACTGAACATTTATGAAAACAAAGGGACCCAACAACAAAGGAAAAATTCCAATTTATATTTATTTTCTATCTCAAGGTCTAAAGGGAAGAAATTTCTATTGGTCATATTCTGTAATTCAAATGCATTATTAATTAAATATCCCCCCCCGCATGATCGTCTTTACCGTCATGAGATTTTTTATATTAGATGATAATTTAAAATATTTTTTTCATTACTTTTTTTGATATTGTAAAATATCATCTTAATGAAAGATTTAAATTTATGAAAACATAGACTAAAATAAGTAGTATACAAATTTAGCTAATAAATGCTGTTTAAATACAGGTCTTCGTAAGCAAATTCAAAAAGCTATGCTACTCAGAGGGTTTAATTTTAGACTGACATTTATTTCAGGGATTGATCCCTATATAATTTACTTTTAACTTTAATTGAAAAACCAGAAATTTCAGAATACTGAAGTGCCAACAGCTATTGGCTGGCAGACTAAATTTACTGAAAGTACCAATGTGCTAAATTCTCCTACATTGCTTCAATCACATGACCTGATGTACAAGCATATACGAGCCTGATCATTGTATGACATCATGTGTACTTACATGAGACTTCCACCACACTCTGTCACCTACAAAACTACAAATACAGCTACCTACAAAAGATTTATGGTCAAGAAACCTTCAATACAGAGTAAAATGTGTCTAATGACGTTAAAACGCGAAGCACTAGGCAATGAACTCTGCAGTGCAGAACACAGCCCTATCTAGCCAGAGGAGACTTAACTCTTACATATGTATTAATATCTTTATACCAGTTAATGTAATGTTAATGCATAAGTTTTAATGCTTGATGTAATTGAATAGGGGAATGCATTTTTTACGTTATATATGTACTTGTAATGTATGTATGCATGTATTATTAATGTATAACAAAGTATATAGTTATAAATTCCATAATATGCATTGGTACTGACTGCTCTGCAGTATGTCTGTACAGTTCAAGAACTTTTATTATTGTATGTATTAATATATCGAGTGTGCACTATTAATGTATTATGTAAAATGTACTAATATATCAAATGCGCTTTTTATGCTATGTACATATTAATGCAATGTATGTATGCATCTAGTATTAATATGCAATGTATATAGTTATAAGTTGCATAATGTTGCACTGGTACTGCACTGCAATATGCCTGTAGAGTTTAGGAAATTTTATTATTGTATGTATTAACATATTGAGTGCACTATTAATGTATAATGATGCATTACCGCTGTCATAATTCAACATAGTAACACCACTTTTTGATGTAAAATATTTCTATATTGTCATATATTGCATAATAAGCATTGGTATTGTAAGAATCTGCAATATGACTGTCTTTCAACATCAACCCCTGTTTGGCAATATTGTTTCTCTGGACAGTTGTGGGATCCAGACGATACCCGAATAATTAGAGAAAGCCGCCAGGGTGTCTGGACCCTGCTCTCACCTATCACCTGTACAAGTATACAAGTGATAAAGACAAACCTATTCCCATTTATCTAACCTATTCATTCTATGTATAAAAAACACACACACGAGTTTTGGTAGGCATACACATTAGTTTGATAATTCCATTTTCATTCTAAAACAGAATTTCAGAAAAGAATATGTGTGACTCCACATTTACAGCTGTCCATAAAGTTTTCTCACAGCAGTTAGAGTACACAGGTTTGTTATCATGCCACTACTGTTCAACTTATTATACCTAATTTTGATTTTATGTTAATATCTAAAATGCATTTTGGGGAGCCACTAATAACAGTTCATTCAAGTCATTAAATAAAGTTCATTTAAAATTGGAGGCAACATAAGATAATTCAATGCTAAGGTGTTCCAAAGTTCTGTGTTCCGAATTTCTGCTTTACTCCTAATTATTTTTATATAATTTCAAGAACTAAATTTTATTACTCCTAATTTCTTTTCTGAAATTTCATGAAGCAAAGTAAAATTTGCTGTGTAATACTTAGTATTTGGAACATTACTTCATATTTTGTATTGCCATTTGTTTTTTCATGAGTAACACAAAATACAACATAAAATGTGCTTCTTGAAATATGGGTGCTACTTGTGAAAATAATAATGTTAAGTAGTGCATAATAACTATATGTTTTATTGTAATCAAAATGTGACCCTCAGATCCACTGTTGTCTCAAAGTCGTAACTACATAAGGTCACTTACAGCTCACTAAAAAAGAATTTGATTTGTAGATGATTAATTTCAAATACTAGATTTTTTTATATTATTATCTTAATTAGCAATTTTTGAAATCAAATTTATGATTTGAGAGATAAACGAATGGGGGGCACTCTCCTAGTGTCAGGAGCAATTTAGCATTAGAGGATTACATTTCTCCATTAAACTAAATGGTGCAACAGCCCTAATGTGCAAGCAGCCCTTAGTGGGCCAAGGCCAGCAGTGCCCTCTGAAATATGCTTTCTTGACCATGGACCTTGGGGCGCATAAGCATATGCTTTGAACAAGTGGTCAGCTTGTCGTACGACCCCCAATGTTTAGTCGCCAAGCGAACTTGGTACTAATTTTATTGACCCAAGTGATGAAAATCAAGGAATGAAAAGCTGAGTTGACCTTGCCCTGCCCGGGGTTCGAAACTCAGACCTGTGGTGCTCTTACGCGATGCGCTAGCCACTGCGCCACCGGTTCTCCATTAAAATAGCTAATTATAGTGAAATTTTTTTACTTTAAAAATATTGAAGGAGAATCATATATAACTGCTTGATTCAAATTTTTCCTAAATATACTACAATACACAAAGTGGGGATAAAAACATTTGCTACCTTCTTTGCTTTAATTAATTACATTTAGAGTGAATAAATAAGGTAAACTATTTTTCCTTACCCCTTTCTAAAAAAAAAATCATTTAGAAATTTTCAGAGCTCAGTTTCATTTCAGATGAAGAAGATAAGAGTGAAGAAGGAAAACAAAATAAAAATAATTTATTATTATTTTTAATGAGACACAAAACCAAATTGAAATTTCAGGTGATAAGGTCTCAAAATTTGAAGATATGAAATGTAGGTGAATGTACATACGAACAGACCCACAATGAGTCGTTGACCGAATTTAGTGTAACTTCGCTACAGCAAGAAGCAATTTGACCTAGTTACACCCAATAATCTTTCCAGTATAGCTGCATATTCTAACTATAGTACTTGTGGTTGATGATGTGTAAAAATAGCATTTGCTGAAGAAAAAAAGAATAGTTCTGCGCATGTTAGGCAAATATTTAATGGAAGCCTACGAAAAACTATTAAATTTGTTTAGATTGATGACACTTTGCCCTATTCAAAAGCATTTGAATAGCGTTGATGCTTCTAGAATTCCAAAGACGACACCAGGGATGATGAACAGAGCAGCCACTCTGCGATACCAGATGGCAACGAAATTAACCAAATGATTAAACAAACTAACAAAGAAAAGTATTACACAGAGTACAACCATCAATAAAGAATATGTTAATTTTGACAAATACTGACATAAGTACTTTGTCTCAACAAATACCGACATGGAATTCCAACATGCATCGAGTCTTCAAAATTATATCTCACATATGTTGATGACAGACCAAATGACTTTACAAATGAAAATGGCAGACAGTCAATAATGACAGTAAGAAAGACTCTCAATTAGCTCATCCAAACTGTGATAAGAAGAGATTAGGGAAAAAAACAGCTTTCTTGCTTATTTTACATAGCAAGAGGCATCAGTTGCATAGAAGATTGCAAATTTTCTGATCTAACAGAAAATTTTGACATCAAAGATATGGTTCGCTTCAAATTTCAGTTTTGGACACTATTATATGATGATTTCAGAACAATTCATTATTAGTTTTGGAATTTCTGGTTAAAACATAAACTTTTTTACTTTTACATAGTCTCTATTTATCTGATCAGACATCAACATTTTGAATTAGAATACTAATTTAAAGATCATTAACTTTCTGACATGAAAAAAATTTTCAAATGGAGTCCTGGGTAAATTGAAGAAAGTAGATACAGATCTCTCCAAATTCTAGCACAAATGTGCTGCTGCAAAAAGGTCTTTGAAGGTGTTTTATTATTGAGACTCAGATGGAATGGACCCAGTCCCCAAACGTTTGAATTCTTCTATATACACTGTTATTAATCCAACTTTACCATTTTGCTATATGCATTTCTAAATTTATTTTTTGTTATTAAATTCAGTTTAAAATACAGATATCAATTAATAGATTTTGAGATTAATTTAAATATAAAACTGAACCATTTTTTTTTAAATTATAACAAAAGGCCTCTCTTGATATAATATAATGGCTCATAATGCAGAAAAGTTGCATATCAGTTATTACAAAAATTACTTCTAACTCTAATGATATTTTCCTTTTATTCTGATTAGAGGTAAATTTTATAAATGCTGTATAAATACCTTCTCTGCATATTCCAATTGTAGTTTTAAGCCCTTATTTTCTTCCACAACTGAATTATATTCTTTCAAATGCTTTGCAATTTCAGCTTCTAACTCTTGGATCTTTTGCACTTTTTCAACATTTTTACTCTCCAGAATTATAACTTTACTTTCCAAATCAGCACACTTCCTCTCTATTTCCTTAATTAAAGAAAAAGAAAGATACTTGCTTTCATAAAAATATTGTGTATAAAAGTAAAAATTAATTTGCTTATAAAATTTAAGTATTCTAAGAATTAAAAAATAATTTTCAATACCGATGTTCGCAACTGGAAAGGCAAAAAGTCCGAGATAGTGGAAGGGACCTCCTAAAGTAGATTTGTAATATATGTTCAGTAGATCAAAATTAAAACATGTAAGGGATTTTCTCTTTTCTCACCACACGCATTCATGATATAATTGAAAGTATATCCAGCTAGTAATCAGGTGAAGAGTTTGAAACCCAGCGAGGGTATTGCTGATTTTTTCCTATTTCCTGCTCCGATAAAACCTAATGACTCTATAAGCAGCTGAACTAAAATGTAGTGGATGATAATTTGTCAACCCTAGTATTTGGCAAGAGGTTCCCTTCTCCTCCCCAGTCACCCTTTAAGTAAGGGATAATGTAAGGAATTTTTCCTTTCTTTACCACATACCTTTGTGGCATAATTGGAAGTACATTTGGTTAGCTTCAGGAGGTGTGAAGTTTGAATCTGGATAACAGCACTGCTGATTTTTCTTGTTTTCTGCTCCAATAAAAAATAATGACCCTAGAAACAAACTGTTGATTTAATTGTGGGAATTTTAAGCTTGTAAGCTTTCATATTCCCAGAACAAGTGATCAAACATCTCAACTCTTAAATATTTATAACAACATAATCTTGATATGTAGAAGAATGCATAGTACTAGAAGCACATAAAACACTTGAATATTCAAATATGTTTGCATACTGTTGTACACTATAGGTTTATTCAGATCTCCATGATAACTATGCCAGAGGTGCAGACAGGAATTGGCACTTTACTAAAATAAATAACAGCTCATATAATGTAAACAGTTATAAATAGCTCAAAAAGAAAAAATAAAGCACATTCTCTCAAACACATCAGTAAAAATCATTCAATAGCAAAGCTCAATATAACTGCACGATTCTGAGCTGATTATTCAGAGCTCCAGCAGCCAAATTTATAGGGTTACTCAGTAATTCTGGAAGCTTCATGAAAAACTGCTCAAAAGACATTTTGAAACACCATTGTCTTGGATATGGTGTCTTACACACTTTTCCATCAACCATTATGATTCAGAATTTATGCGATATACACGACCTTTAAAATTCATTTTAGTGCTTTATATATGTGTCATTTCTTTAACTGGTGAATTCGTCTCTAATAATAAAACTTTGCCCGGTTCTTTGACATAATGTATTTTTTAATGTAATGCAAATTCTTTAGATGATGCTTATGGATTCTGCCAAACTACTACTGCATCTTTTCTATTACAAATTCCAACTACCAACCAAAGACACATAAGGAGATGACATGAATATACTGCAGTCATCCTCCATCTATTCCTTAAAATCTTTGTTTATAAAAAGAATTGTTAGTTTGGTACATTTATATTTACCATATTGGCAACACCAAGTTCTCTCTCTCTGCGTGCGAGCTATGGATGCAGTTGTAATGTTGTGCACGTGTTGTTAAGTTTCAATAAAAAATGTGAAAAGATATGTTTCATATTTTTTGACTTGCTTCTGCATATGATATCGATTTATTTAACAAGAATGGCAAGAACTTCCATCAGATCCCCAGTTTTAAACCAAATGAATATTTTTCAAATGTTCAGACTCTAACACAGCCCTAACATCTCTTTCAGATTAATCAAATATTCAGTTACATTATTTAGGAGAGCTAGTAATGTAACTTCTAGAGAAATACAGGTAATATTTATGTCCCCTTTGTTGGGATACTCTTTACAGATTAGACTACCTTAAGGAAAACTTTCTGGATTTTTGGATTCTATGACATTATATCCAGGAAGTGATACATTTAGCTTCCACCACAGCTGAAAGAGCTCCTACCTCAGACCTAATTTTCAGCCGAATTCTTCTAATTCTGAGTTTCTCTTATATGCATGTTTGTAGCATGATGCTCGTTTACGTAGAAATTAAATATCTTTTATCAGTTTACTTACAGCACGAACTACAAAAGCTAGTAGTATCATACTATATGCCAGTTTCTTCAGCAAAGTATCTTTTTAAGTTTTAGCGAGGTTTCCTTAAAATGTCCTCCACAAAGGTGTCCCTCTCCTTAGCCAGGGAGCCTTCATGTGTTTTGCTATAATCCAAACAACCATTCTTCTTCAGCTTTTGAAGACTATGGTTTGATTTTTGAAACAACGGTTTGATGCTTTGGCACAGTGAAAAAGAACAATGTCAATATCAGGCATTTTCAGTATAGTGTCATGTACCTTAAAACTAGATGGTGTTTTTTTTTGACAAGAACTTGATTTCAGTTCTATCAGCTGCAATCTTTTTTCACTTTCAAAGTATGTTAAATGCAAAATCTTACTATGGGATATTTAGTGCAGCTATTAAGGTGCTTTTTTAAGAAACTGAAATATTCTTCCCATTTTTGTGAAAATTTAATTATATAAAATTATTAGCATTCTTATATGAGTCCAGTTGTATAGTATAAAAATAAGTATAATATATCTACAATATTAAACATTGATGAAAATATGGCTATTTTGTGAAGTCACTGGAAAACTAAATAAAAGAATAGCAAGTATACATGGGTATGAAATTCACATTTCTTATTAATCCATATTAGTTCCACTGTATTAGCATAGTGAAATCTACATGGAAAAGTAAACTGTAATCTTAAAGATATAAGTACCAGTTTTTATAATTTCCATGGTAATTTAAAATATTATTATAAATTTATCTTATTGATATTTTGAACAATGCAATTATAATTGCATAGAACAGAGGTTCCCAACCCTATGCGCATGGGCATGATGGCATCATGTGCATATATTATTATTAACTCTATCCAGCTATAAATTCACCTTGAAAAAGTAAACGGTGCCCACCGTCTAACAGATATTTTAGAATGTGCTCTTAGGAACAAAAAGGTTGGGGACTCCTGATGTAGGACATGCCTGAAGATGTTGAACCCATTTTGTAGCACATAAATGGCAATGCCTATGACCAAAGAACAAAACTTTAAATACAGAAATATTTACTGTGAAAACATCCAGCTTTTATTATAGGAAAGAAAAGGTTCTTCCCGGAGGGAAAAGCACGAGGAAGGAATAATTCTCGTATTTGTTTCACGCATATGTTGAAAAATAACAGTAATATGAAATTCTCTGTAATATTTCATTTTTCTATTTTTTACAAGTTAGAAGTCGTTTCTGCCACATTACATGTTAAATAATTTAGAAGTACAATGTCTGCAGCATAATACATGAAATAAATGCTTAGACTCGAACCCAATTAAACAAAAATACAAAATAAAAGTACTACATAAAATGCATTAAATACATTGATAAATGAAAATAATATGTAACATGAATTAAATAAATATAAACATTCATATAAATTTACAATAGTATGCTTGGGAAATATGTATCTTACATCAACTAAATAGTAGAGTCTATTAAATAATGATTTATTTATAAACATTTTAAAAATGAGCAAAAGCAAAGCATTTCCTGCCAAAATCAAATATAACAGGAAATAAAAAATGAAAAAACAGAAATCTTAAAATAATCCCTATAGTTGCAAAAGAAAACGTCAGTTCAACCAAAGATTTAATTAGAAAAATAAGATAACAGAAGGATAACATACTTCCTTTACCGAAACACTTGTGTCGTACATCTGCTGAGATTTTGTTAGCTGGGATTCTAGATCTAGCACTTTCTCTTTGTAAGTGTTAAGTTCAAGTAATTTATTTGCAAGATCTTCCTCTAACTGTTTTGCATGAATTTTCTGGACTTCATTTTCATCTTGTAGCTTGTCGTATTCATTCTGCAAACTCTTGAAAAAAGATTTTATAATTTAGTTTAGAATTTATAAAAATATAGATTTTTTAAATAAAAAAAATACGACAGCAACAGCTTTAAGTATCATGAAGTATGTTAGTGACAGTTTTGTGTTTGTCAATAAACTAAATCAGCAATCAGCTCTCAATACAGTTAATCACTCATAAGTTGTACAGAACTGAGCTCTCTCCAAACAAATAAATTATCCTTTTATGCAATTGACAATAAACAAACAATTAAAAAAAGAGGGGGTACTAAAGGAAAATCCCGTTGACCATTTTTGCCTATTAAAGAAAAGACACCAAACTACATGATTTTTCGCCAAAAATGGAAAAGTCTTCTTCAAACACGCTGGGTTTGGTGTAACCTTGATTACACAATCCCTTTGCTGTAGCTAATGTGAAGTACTTTGGAATCATTTCAAAATCAAATTAAAAATACACAGAAATGTCATCAAGAAGACAGCCAGTTTGGCACTGATGGTGCCAGGCCTAAGTCTGATGAAGAATGGATGTCTGCAAGCATATAGTGTCTGTGTGGCAAAAAGGCACTCAAAATACACAGCACTCTGAAAAACTTCTCAGCCTTGTGATAGGGAAAGAGCATGGAAGATCATTGGACCACCCTCTGGCAAGTTTTTGCTCAAAATTGGTTAATAGTTATCGAGGTTCAGCGATATCTAATATACCCATGGAAATGCACAGGTGTGGCCTTACTTCAACCTGTACTTGTATGGATGGAAAAATCTCTTTGCTGTAGCTAAAATAAAATATTCTGGAATCATTCCAAAACTCAGTCTAAAAAAAAAAAAAAAAAAAAAAAAAAAAAAAAAAAAAAAAATTATCAATAAAAGAATATTAACTGTCCTTTTAGGAAGAAAACTCTTAACTTGGCTAGTCACAGAGAAAATGCAGTTCATATCATTTTAATCAGATCTACTTTTACATATACTTTTCCAATTTGGGTTAGAATACTGCTCTCAAAGTCCACTGAAATAAAAATTAAATATTCAATAATAAAACACTGTGCAGATATATCATATATCATTGTATATTATTTCCTAAGAAATAGTAGTATTCATGAAGAATTAAAAGTAAATTGAACTCATAATTAAACACTGACAGCAGTGTACAATCTTAGATAAAAACAAATTTAATTTTAGTAAGATTTCTAAACTCGCATGATTAAAATAGCTGAAAACTCTAATCTCCTTTTCATAACATTATCAGACAGTTTTCTTAGTACTAAATTCTTTCCGTTTGTCATTTCATGGCAAAATACACAACTTCAAAGCAGTTAATTTTTTATCACACCTATTGTTTCAACATTTGCATGTCATTCATGATAATATGCAAAACTGCTACTAAAATCATAACCACCTGTCTCAAGAATGGTGGCACTTTGCTGGACTTTATTTGCTACTGTCTTGCATTTTCAGGCAATAGTTCTTAAGACTTTTTTGATGATGCAATAGGGTAAACAACTCCTGTACAAAGGTACTGATCAATACGCATTTGAATTATGTCATCTATTTTGTACTTAAGTCATCTCCATTACTAAGGATTACTTAATTTCTTCATAGGACTTATTAATTACACTCAGATACTACTTGTCATTATTTTGAACATATCCATGCTTTATATCCTACTGTTTAAGCAATAGTCACTAACCTAACATATAATACATATACTACTACCTACGAATACATTTATCACACAACACTGTAATTCACAGATACATCATCTTGTGAATAAATAGCTGGACACATTTTGGTTGTATCTGTCACTTTATATGTCACTGGAGGTTATGTACAATTACAAGATGCCCATAAAATTTTTTAATATTTTATCAGTTGTGTTAAAAAACTGTACCTGTTTAAAATGTTTTATTTATAAAATTTTAAATATTTTATCTGTTTTAGAGGTCATCACATGCTTGATGACCTCTAAAAGTTTCATACTGATTCTTATCATGTTGTTCAATAGCTTTCCTTGTTTGTGATAAACTAAATGATACAGAATAGAGTAATAATAATAATAATAATAATAATAATAATAATAATAATAATAATAATAAATAAATAAAAAACTTACAAGACTAGTTAAAATACCTAACGTTACAAAGCTTACTTTGAATGCCATAATAATATATTTCTGCTAAACAGAATTTTGGACAAGCATGCACTTAAGAAGTAAAATTTTGAAATATTATTACAAAAAGTAACGAAAATATATTTGAGAAGAACAAAGTAGAGACGAATTCTCTTAAGGATGAAATAAATAAATATTCTAATTCAAGTACAGAACTGACTCATAATTTTTTAAACATACCTGGTAATTCTGAACATATCGATACTGATCAGATGAAACCTTCTCCAATTCTTGTCGGATTTCAATAATTTCTGCGTCACATTTTTCTTTTCCTTCCATAACTTCATTATACTATAATATATAAATAATCATATAAAATCATATATATTCAAAAATAAATAAGTACATCTTATCACGCTAATTTTAATTTCAAGAAATGTATCATAAAATACAATTATATTACAAAATTACCTGTTTTTTAGTCTCAGTTAATTCCTTTTTCATCTTTAAAGCAATTTGCTTAAATTTATTCATTTTAATTTCAGTCTCAGCTAACTGATTCTTTAAATCATCTATCTCATTTCCACATTCAGCAACTTGCTGATTATTTGATACATCATTACTGTTCTGCAGTTCACTCTGAACTGCACATTTGTTTTCTAAGTTTTTTATAGTCTTTTCAAGAGTAGGTATGATGTTTATTTTACAGTCATTTAATTCTTTCGAAACTGCATCATTTGAAATATTGTTAAAATAATGATACAATGTAGACAAAAATCTTACATTTAACTCATTCAGGTTTTTTACATTATTTAATATTGTGCAACAATCACTATCAATACATTTATTTTCAATTTGTGAATATCTAAAAGATGAAAGTTCTTCCTGAAATGTACATTCAAGAGAAGAAATATCACATTTCTTTGAAAATATCTGGTCATTACTATTTTGATTAAATTGCCCATTTACAAATGCTAACCAAAGTTCAATATCTTCGGTTATTTTATTAAAGAATCCTATTACTTCGGTTATATTAGTTTCTAAGTGTAAACACTTCTGTTTTAACTTTTCTACCATTAAATTATGTGAATTTAAAACATCAGTAAGGCTATATTTTAAGACATTCATGTTTTCATTGTAAAAGATAAATGCTGTTTGCATTTCACTGTTAAGAGAAGTTTTCAAATCTTTTAGTTCATCTACTGATGCCCTAACATGCTTAAATGCATCTTGTTGTACACTCTCGTAATGCTGCAGCTTTCTTTTGAGATCCAAATTTAAACACATATAATTATTTACATCACAATCTTTTTCATGCAATTCAACAGTAAGTTCCTCAATTTTTGATAGCAAAGAATCCATTTCACAATGGATTCTTTCAACTAAATTAGATTTATCATTTAATAAGGATTTTAAATTATTAGTATCATCAGTTAATGTTTCAATAATTTTTTCCTTATCTTTCAACTCCTTTACTGTTATTTGGAGTTTTTCTTCCATGTTTGTTTGATGATTACTTGAAATATTTTCATTTATATCTGATAAATGAAATGTATCTTCGTATTTTGATGAACTTAAGGGATCACCTACTTGTACTGAAACATGCTGTACTAAACAGTTCTGTATTTTTGACTCAGCCACATCTGTATTCACTTCAGAATCAACAGAAAAAGGCTTCGTATTATCATTTTCCACTTCATTCAAATTAAACGATTTATCATCATATTCATTAATTTCCTCAATGCTATATAATTCAGGAGAACATTTCTGAAATGAGGCATCACACCATATTTCAGGACTTTCATAGTTTTCTGCATCCATCTTAGAAACACATTTCAGTTGTTCTACTTCATCACGCAACTCTCTGGCTTCATGTTCAAGAAAATAATTGAGTTCTCTTATTTGCATTAGTTCATCTTCTATATTTTGTTTTTGAATCAATATATTTTCTATGTCGGATTCAAGTGTTTGAACTTTAATTGCATTACTGTTACAGCGTACTAGTAAATCATCAAGCAAAAGTTTTAATTGTGCCATATTTTCTGTTAATTCTCTTTCAGTTTGATATGAAGATGCTGTGGTCTTCTGTCGAACACCCTGCTTAATACCTATTATTAATAACTCAAGTTGCAGATTGAATTCATTCAGTTCAGCACATTTTTTATCTAGTTTTTCACTTAGTTCTAAATTTTGTTTTTCAACTAGTTCTGAACGAGTCTCAATATTTAATTTAGCAATTTCAATATCTTCCATCTTCCTTGTGAAATTTCTAATCTGTAGGCTTAGTTCTTTTAACTCCTGAGAAATTAATGCACAATTTTCAAAACAATTTGTGCCTTCCGACTGCAAGAATGTAACTTTTTTAATTAGATTTGTAATTTTCTCTTCTATACAAAAGGAATCAGTGTCTAAAGTTTGCCCATTTGATAAATGAACTTCTATTAAATCAGATTCAGTATTTACTCCTGCATTTGTATGTACTGGAATAATTTTGTAGGAACCTTCAAGTACTCTAGATTTTTCTGAATTTTGATATTCTAATTTTAATTTAAGAGATTCATTTTCTGATTGAGTTTCTTGCAGTAAATCAGAGAATTCTACAATTTTTCGCTTCATAATACTAACTTCATAATCAAAAGCAGCCTTTTCTTTCTCCAGTTCTTCACAATGAAGAACCAAATTTTGGTTTTCTAATTTTAATTTTTCAGCAAATATTTGCAATTTATTTATTTCATCTGATTCATTCTCAGTATGTTCATGGCGCTGATTCTGAACTTCTTCAAAATGAGAGAAAACATCTCCACCTTCTAATAAAGCAAATTCTATTCCTGCTGTGGATTCAGTAGCATATAAATCACTGAACAGACCAGAATTTGTATATACATTACCTTGAATATCCTTATGGACTTCAGTAGCAACTTCCTTCTTGGAAGTGTCAATCATTCCTTCATTAATGTTCTTATCATTGACAGATAATACAAGACTTTCAGTAGCTGCTCCTTGCAAAACAGCATGTTCAAAGCCACCTTTAAAGTCATCATACATTTTAAGGGAGTTACAAAGATTTTTAACCTCATCTTCTAATTTAATCCTCTGTTTTTCACTAGTTTCAAGAGCTGATGCAGTTTCTGTAATTTTTGTCTCCATCTCTTTTACTTGCACAGAAAGTGAACGGTTTTCAGCTTCTAGGACATCTTTTATACTTTGAAGATTACTTTCTTTTTCTTGCTGATTTACTTCCATTGTCTCTTTTAAGTCATCAATTTCATTCTGAAGTTGCCTAATTTTTGCTTGTAATTGCTGATTGTCTGTTATTAGAATGGAATAGTCATTATTGTCAGTTTCATACCTTAACTTCAATGATGCATATTTTCCCTGCACTTCTGATAAATCATCATTAAGTTTAGATTTTTCATATTTAAGATTTCTTATTTCAGTGTCTAATTTTTCAATTTTTGAACTTAAGACACAGTTCTCTTCAATACATATTGCATATTTTTTATTCAACTCGCAGGATTCTTGTAAAAGACTATCATGATTGTCACTTTTATCACTTGATGCATGCCCTTGAGTCTTAAGAGATTGCAAAGCTGCGTCTCTGGCTTCAGTCAAGACTTGAATTTCTTCAGTCATTTCCTAGAAAGAATACAAATAATTATAAATTAAATAAATACAGTTATGGACAACACAAACAATGTATATTTTGTTGGCAGTATATGAAAAATATACATTCTTGAATGTCTAGGGAATACATATGTTTACACAATGTATAGAATGCTGGGAATTTTTAGGTAAGAACAATCAAATTTTTTAATAATATGTATGCTTTTCCCAGGTATTGCATGTAATACCTATACATTATATAGAGTAACAAATGCTGTTTAGGCAAAGTATGAAACAAAGAGTTCTGAAAAAACTCTAATTGAAAAGATATGATATAGAACTCAATAGTAGTAATGCTTTCTTTAACAGGATGAATCAGTTTATTTTTGTTTCCATTTATGTCACATTATAGGAATTCAGCAGCCAATGTTCCATGATTCCTTCTTGGTAGTCATCTGGGTCTTTTCTATAATAACTTCTGGTAAGTAGTTTCAATTGCGAAAACACCGATTTTTTACAGCAGTGGCTCACACTTTAGACAGTTTGTTGTAGAATCATCACTGCATGTCCTTATACCATATTCTTTTTTTTTTTTGGATGCTAGGCCTTATTTTATCGATTTCATACATATGGGCCAGGATCTTTGTAGAACAAATTTAAAGTAGTATATTTTATTACTTCCATACAACTGAAAAAGGAGAATTCTTCATCTAAGACAAACATTGAAAGTTGTACAACTTGTCCTGTGACATTAGAAATGTCATTAGTGAGAGCATTTCATACTTTACAGGTTTGCCTTTTAGCAGAGAATGCCTAGGAAATGTGAGAAATATTAATAATTTCATACCATGATGTTCAATTTTTGTAATGCATTCTATGTATTGCATAAACATTCTGTATAATGTCTGCTTTTATTCAATGCCAGTAAATATATATATATATACACTGCTGGCTATTAAAACTGCAATAACAGGAAGGAATGATCTCAAGAACATCACAATTACATGAAAGGAAGAAGTTCAGCGCATTTAGATGACGCAGGAGGGAGAAACGACATCTGAAGCACTACATAAAAGAATAGTAGTGTAGTGGATTTCTCATTTAGAAAGTGCTTTGCAAGGTGAGTTTGCTCAGAATATCGTGTTATGCCTCGAATAAGAAGAGGAAATGCTTACCAGCAAGTTTTGAAATTCGATAGAGGCAGGATTGTTGCCTATCGAAAGTGTAGATTATCATTCTGTGATCTCACTGGTCGACATCCAACTACTGTCATGCGAATATGGAATCAATGGATTGCTGAGGGTCATACTGAAAGGCATGCAGGATCTCAATGCCATCCGATGAGTAATGCCAGAGAGGACAGACATATTGTGAGGTCAGCTCTGCAAAACTGTATGACCACATCACGGACTATTAGCCAAGAAATGGCTAATAGTCCGTTTGCAGCATGCCCAGTATCAGCTCATAAGGTGTGTTGACGTTTGCAGCAGTGTGGACTATCAGCAGGGTGACCATTACTTTGGCTTCTCTTGACAATGCAGCATACAGACAGCGACTCTGATGAGCCAAATGACAAAGATGTGTACATGAGTGGCACAATGTCACCTTTTCAAATGAGTCCCAGTTCTACATGCAGTATTCTGATGGCCATATACATGTCTGGAGTGTCCGAGGAGACCGCACGTCGCCTGCTTGCATTCAATATCAGCATAGGGGTCCTGCACCTGGTGTGATGATTTGGGCAGCCATTGGGTACATGATACGTACATCTCTTGTTTGGATCGATGGTAATTTGAATGCAAATGGGTGCATTTCTGACATCTTACGTCCAGTGGTTGTGCCTTTATCTTTGGGGCTGTCAAACGCCATGTTCCAACAAGAGAATGCAAGACCACATGTTGCATGTCGTGTTCTAACCTTCTTCAATACACAGGGTATTCGATTGCTGCCCTGGCCAGCATGGTCTTCAGATCTGTCACCTATTGAAAACATCTAGTCAGGGATTGCTGAGAGAGTGGCCCGCCACCCGTCTTCGGCTAATACGGTTGATGAAGTGTGGCATAGACTTGAATCAGCATGGAATGAGTTGCCCATTTCATCCAAGCCCAGTTTGACTGCATGCCTAATGCAGTAAGGGCTGTTTTAGCTGCTAGGGGTGGCAGCTGTTTCTACTAATTTCACATCCCTGTAAACCTCCAAAATGCTTACAAATTTAATCATTTTGTCTTCATGCCATACTGTTTTTACGTGCAATAAATATCTTTTTGTATTTGCTTTCCTTCATAGTGTTTCAATTTTAATGGCCATCAGTGTATATATCAATTTATTTTTCTAAATCGTTATATAAGGTTACCCTCTAATTGTCATTAATCTAATTTCTAAGTAACCTTATTCAAATGTACAACGACTTTTCACTCAGTCTTAACTTTGAGTCCTACAACACAAATTGATAACAACAAGCATATGAAGGCAACTAAAATATTTATTAGTATTACAGTTTGAAGACAGAACTGACACGAATAATAAAAAACCTAAGTTCTGCTACTTACAGCTAATAATAATACAATAGTAGCTCAATCAGCTACAAATCAAATATTAAAGACTAAGGTCATGGCTCATATGCTAACATGCCTTCTTTTATAACTACCAATAAGGTAACTCATTAAAATCAGCACAGCAGTCCAAGAGAATCAATGCTGTCCTGGAGTTACATTGCTAAAGCTTTCTCTCTAAATTTAGATTCTCATTCATTATTTAAACTTATTTGGCATTTTTGCTAGAGTACACAGAACAGCAGAATGTCATAACTATTTCATAACTTTTTATTTTGAAAATATAGTTATTATTTTTTTATTATATATAACTGATGCATTCAGATTATACAATGAATGATTCTACAAAGCTTGATTCAGCATTCTTTTTCAGCTATTTGTTAATAAATTTATAGGCAACAAATATTAGTATTGTTTTTTTTTAACTTCTTGGTATCTTAAATTGAGAAGATATATTGCATTAATTAAATAAAATCTTTCAATTATACAAATTGTGCTATACTGTACTACTACAGTCAAAAGTCATTAATTCGGACACCCATAATCCAGACCTCAAACCTACAAACTTTCTGCGCATGCGTCGGGTTGACGCAATCGTAAGACCTTTACGGCTGCGAATATGCGTGTGCACATGCGCAAAATACGTTTACGAATGCGCGTTTAATATATAACGGACGGTATAAGCTAAGCTAAAATTATCTAATTCAGTTAATGTTGCAGATTGCATTGATCCTTAATCTTCGAATTTGATCCGGCTTATTATTTTTTGCAGACTGTTAGAGCAATTTTATAAGAGTAAGCTTGAACTTTTGATTACATCAAATAGAATTTCTGATATATATTTACTTATATGTAAAGGATCTACAAAGCGAAAGTATGTTTCGAAGTCCATTAAACAAAAAGTGGAATTGCTGCAAAAAATGGATAAAGGCATATCCTTTGTTTATCTAACCATTCCGAAATCTGTTTATCAATTTCACGCTGCTCTGCGTGTGTGTGTGTGGGGGGAGGGTGGGAACATCACGGCGCGCAATGAACTGGAAGTTGATCTGTCAGCACTATCCTTTTCTTCAGGGCAGATGTTTTTATTTTATTTGGCTTATAATTTTTACTAAATGTAGTATTTCATCTCAATGTACTCCGTCTTTGATATGATTTAAATCAAATTCTTCATCATTATAATTCGCTTCCGATACCGAAGAAAGTGACACAGAGGTTATTGAAAACGAAAAAATTTCCACTGACAAATTAGTCGGTATTCTCAACACAGCAATTATAGGACTTGAACAGCAGAACTTTGTAACTGAACAAGAAATTATGTCTGTTTATAGAATTAAAGAGAAAGTATTATCACATAAAAAATGAAGCAATTTAAACAACTTACATTGAAAGAAATGTTTAACAAATAAATATTAAGCTTTTTTTTTTGCAAATTTTGATACCCTTTAGATCATAATTGTTCTTTATTTCATAAATTAAGATTTCATATTTTTAATTTTATAATTTCTGCATGCCATCTTACTAGATTTAAACTGATGATCTATAATCCGGAAAAATCGATAATCCGGAATTGCCTAAGTCCCGACGAGTCCGGATTAACGACTTTTGACTGTACCAGATTTAAAATCAAAATACCTTTTCTGATAACTTTTGACAGAATGAAAATTTTGAATTTAAATTGAAATACTGAAATAATAGCATCTCTCATTCTTTGGAAAAAAGGGAAAATTATTAATTTTAATGAATTTTAAATAGGTGCTGCAAATACGAATAACATATATAATGTCACAAAAACAATATTAATGTCAGCAATAAAATACCAGAATTTTTTTTTTAAAATTGGATTCAAATTACCCTGTATATTATTTAACTTCCCTCCATGAATATGGGAAAAAATTCTATGGTAATTTTTAATCAATCTACCATATCTATGAAATATATACAAAAATTACTATTTTTAAAACATTCTTTACTATCAAATTATTTACATGAATAACATTTTTAGTTAAATCATCAAAGCTACACACTTCATGAAAGTTAGAGATTTTATAATAATGTACTTTAACCCTTTCTTGGTTGGATTTTTTTTCCTCGAATTTCTGACCCCAAATAAGCATTTTTTTTTTAAATTGCTGAAAATTCATGTATGTTCTATCCTAAATTCGAAAATGCAAAAGATTTTTGAAAGTAAGCAGTTTTTGGACCTATGGGTGGTCAAATATGTGATATCCCATTCACTGATCACCAATTTTCCCTGCAATGCACCCAAGTTTTAAATAAAAAAAAAAAAAAAAAAACAAAAAAAAAAAAAAAAAAACATTGTGATGCTATATTTATTAATTATATTGTTCTGATGTATTTAATATAAAAATCTACATAAAAATAATTACTAAAATGACATAAAAATGCTTTAGAAAATGGATTTCCAACCTTATTGTTAAAACAGCTTTACAATCTGCCTTTGTCATCTGAGCATAAAAACCATATTCATCACAAAACCAAAAATCATTTATTTAATAAATAAAAAAATTAAATAAATAAATAATATATTTTTTTTTTTTTTTTTTTTTTTTGTTGCTTACTTTCAAAACAAAAATTGCCCCTACGGATATAAAAAATATCTTAAATGTTTTTTTTTTTTTAGTTGAAATTCTAACAGATACCACGTGGATATTCAAGATGGGAATTTTTCATTTCGTCGCATGGCATGCGATGCTGACCTTACGGGCACAAAACCTTCGAATGTGTGAAATGCGATGCCAACTTAGAAGGGTACAACTCTGATAAATGCCCTAATTTCACCAAATGTGGCGATATGTGTTTTGCGCTGGTTTTTGGCACGATTGCGTGTTGTATGGCAACCATGTCGACGTTGAAAAATCTTTTGGTGGAGTAGTTTAATTGCTAGTTGGTTCATGTCGCGTGTGTTTTTGAAATGGCCTATGTTGCGATGAAAGACGTGGTGGGAAGGTTTTAGCCACGTATTTTAGATTGTGTGCAGAGTAAATTTAGTATGAAAAGGTACGATGTTGGAGTTGTTAACGAGTCTTTTGTTCACGGATGTATTTATGGGGATCGTAGTGTAATTTTGGAATTTCTGTGGGAGTCGGGACTTTTAAAACGGAGTTTGACGTGTTCGAAATGCGGAGCAGATATGAGAACTCGGACAAAAAATGGTGTTTCCGATAGACTTGTGTGGGTTTGCAGTAAAATTGTTGCTAATAAAGTATGTGGGTGTCAGCGGAGTTTAAGGTTTGGATCTTGGTTTTCGTGTAGCAAGTTAACGTTGGAGGAAGTTTTTATTGTTACTTTTGAAATTTTGAATTGTAGGAAGGCATGTGATATAGCAAAATCATGGAAGTTTTCTTCACAGACGTTGTGTGACTGGCGAAATTTTATTAACGAATGTATTTTGGACTTTGTATGCTCTGTATCTGAGAAGATAGGGGGGAAAGATATTTTTGCTTTTAAAAGAAGCTTTCATTATGGTAAGTGCATCTTATTTTATTATTTTTATTTTGTAGAATGTTATATTCATTGTTTTTTGTATGAATTTCTGTTTTTATTGTTGTTTTTTGAATTGTCTGAAATTTATTTTAGTTTATTTTCTTGATTTGTTTTTAGTGAAGATTGTGCAATTCGTAGATGTTTTCTAAAGTTGAAACAGAACGCTGTGTACATGGTATTCTTTGAAATTTGTTGTTGTTATGTTAATTTATTAAAGTGAGGTGTGCGTAGTTCGTAGATCGTTCGTTGCCTACAGTGTGCCATTCATAGATGTTTTTTTAAGTTAAAGCATGTCGCTGTGTACATGGATTCTTGTCAAATATTTTTGGTTAGAAACTTAACGTTTTTACTATCTAAATTTTTTGTTTTTGTTTCGGATTTTTAGTTTAAATCGTGTGTCAAAACGCAGTTTTTGCATGTGCGAAAACCGTGTTTTTGGAGACATTTTAAGCTTAAAGTTCGAAAGTAGACAAAAAATTTAGATAGTAATATGGCAGCGTGAAGTTTCTCGCCAAAAATATTTGGCGAGAAATTTGGCGACTTGAGGGCGCATATCAGAGTAGTTCCCTTAGAAGACCTAGACCTAGACCGAAACACTGGATTTAAAGTAGTGCGCCTACTATATTCTGAAGAAATCCAATAAATCTGCAGAACTTTCAATCCAAATACTGAATATGCTTTTCAATTATTTTATATTCAAAAATTTATTTTAGCAAAATGAAATGAAGAGAAAAAGAATTTGCACTATATAGTATGAAATGTTCATAAAATTAATTAATTTTCATTATGCATATTATTAATAAGAAACTAAGCAGATGCCATCAAATCAACTTCTTTTTCTTCATCTAATTTGAAAATCCTTAAAAATAATTAATTTGAATGGTTAATGATATTGTCCAGGCTGATTTAGTAGTAAACAATTAAGAGTATTAGTGGAGATCTGAATAATTACATTAATTAAAATATTAATAAGCTATTATTAGAATTGACACTGAATCCTATGCAAAATTCAAAATAAATTAACGACTAAATAACACAGTCATGAGAAATGTCTAACTGAAAGATAAAATGCCAATGTAAAATTTAAAACCAGACAAAAAAAGCAACTTTAGATTGGCTTAGATTTTTGAATGACACTTTATAGTTCTCTAGTTCTCTTCTTTGGAAGAAAAAGAATAATAAAATAAAATAAATATATTAAAAAAGTGAATTTCTGACAAGTTTTTTAATGGTGTACAAAAGTGAGAAAAGTGTTCTGTACTGATACTGAAATGCCATGAAATATCAAAGTATTATAAAAGGTAAATTTCTTTATGTAATAGTGAAATTACATAAAGTAAATTACATAAGAAATTACATAAGTAAAGTAAAAGCTTAAATTTGTAATAGTGAATATTTTTTAACTTATGAATACAATTTATATGCTAAATTCGTAGTTCTGTTAGACTGGTCATAATTTAAATATTAACAGCTTAATAATTACTTTAAGTGGATCTCATTTTGAAAATAAATTGTATTGATTTTAAACTTGACAACTAAGACCAAGACTATTTAATTTAAAAAAGGATAATTTTCAAAAATACATTTTTCACATCTAAAATAATTGTTTTGTTAAAATATAAGAATTAAACAGAGTTCATTAGAGTTCAAAATAATTGCTATTATTTACAGATGAACATTCTAATTTCACTTGAAGAATATTTAGAATAAATCAGAGACATACAAGTTTCCATTTGTAAAATAAAAATCTTAATACAATCCTAAAGCTGACTGCAATAAAATATTCTACATTTATTTATATGAAATGTATCCTGCATTAATAATATATAATGATTGCAACATAAATATTTAGCTTTAAAATGAATTAAAAAGATTATGGAAGTGTTTCATAGTAAAATATTTAATTTTTCTATGCTGAAAAACAGCAACAGGCATAGTCTTACCTTGTTTTGTTTCTGAAGTTTAGACAGTTCCTCTTGGAAGCAAAGACATGTGGCTTTTACTGTATCTAGCTGCATAGTTAAACACTGCATTCTTTCATCTTTCTCACTTAGAAGAGATATGAAAGAAGTTTTGTCTTGCAGAGCAGCTTCCAATTCTTCTTTCAACTTTAATATTTTAGATGCTTTTTCTTCAATGCATTTTTTCTATTAAAAAAACAAACTTAAGTATTCATCAATATAAGATGTGCTTTAAATTAAATATAACATTTTTTCATTCGTTGCAATACAAACATGCAATCTTTATGCTAATGAAAAGTTCATAAATCATGAAACTTAAACAATTGTTTTTAATATTAGTACTGCATAAATCCTCTATCAAAAGTTAATATGAACAAACAAATTCTCATCATGTATAATTTAAGAATAATAATAAGCAATGTAAGCTTTATAAATTCAAGAAATAAAGCAAAATGATAAGATGTTAACTCCCCTCCCCCCCAAAAAAAATGGAACTATTGGTTTAAATGTATATATACAAAAAGCAAGGCCATGCTCCATGTAAAAATATCAGCATGTTAGAAAAACAATTTGGAGGTAATCTACCTGAATAAGGAACAAGTAAGTCTTAATAAACATAAGAAAGGAAAATCTATGATTTAAAAATCATCCAAATAAGCAGAGTCCATGACAGGATAAGAGAGAAATCATAATAAGGCATAACAACAGACACAGAAAAGACAATGTGTTATCAAGGCAACTCTATAGTCAACACCGAAGGGTGTCCACTGGCAATGAGGCCAGCCCACAGAATACTCGCTCACAAAATGCGGATCACAACCTTGAAATTTCTACACATTGGGCTATGTTGATCATGTTAACATCAGATCATTGTGCCATTATTTTTCAGATCACAGGTGAATATGAATGAATGTTAATTCTTAACATTACCTTATGAATTATGCTAATTGTACAGTAACATTTTTTTTCCAAATACATGCATGCAAACACATTATTATCAAATAATCATAGATATATATTTCCTTTGTAAATATTCTGAAACAGAATTTAAACATAAGAAATAGGGCAAACCAGTGGTTAAGCAGTCTGCTCTTTTTCTAATGTTTCATTTAATTACGAATTTAAAAAAAAAAAAAAAAAAAGCTGCTTGAGGTTTTTATGATTTCTCTCATGTAAATAAAGTAAATGCAGGATAGCTTTCTTCAAGAAATTCTTCATACAAGCTTTCCTTCTCGTAGGTAGACATACCTTGTGCCTTTGCCCATTTTTCAAATAACCCAATCCAATCAGAGTTTGGTTCATTTTATTTATAGCTTAATCAAATTAAACTCAGAAGCAATGTAATGAAAGTGGAACTTTTAATTCATTTTACTTGTCACTGTGTTATCTTATTTTTTATTCCTTATTCATTTCAGTATCAGAAGCACAAGAAATTTTTCATATTTTATTTCAGACTATCTAAGACATTCAAATAGCTAAAAATCTGTTTAAACAAAAATTATTATTTATTTTATATAATTCTAAAATTAGAGACAATGTAAAATGCATATTGTAAATAATAATTCAGGTGTCTATTCTAAGTACCAAATGTTAACATACTAAGTTGGCCCAATAAAAAGTACCCTACCGTAAATACACTCTTTAGAAGTCACAGCCCCTTGCCTTATCTCTGTTGATTGTCAGTCTTCCAGGCAACTTGATGTTGCCAAATACAGCTGTATTTTAGCTTTATTTTGCCTATCTATTTACTCCTTTTGTGTGCACTGCATCAGACAGATGGAGTTTATATTCTTATATTATTGCAAGAAGCAGGCTCCTTTTTTCATAAGCCATGCTACGTTATGTAAAAAACAAAAACTACATTGATAGTATGCACTTTTATTTCTCACAGAAAGTTCACAAAGGTGTAAGGTTAGAAACAGCTAATTGATAAAATACAAGTTCTGTATTTGATTAAATATATGAAGTCTTCAGAGAAGGAAAATACGTTAAGCTGCATATTTCAAAGTACGGAACAGTTAATCAAACCTTTCAACACAAGATCTAAAATCCTTTGGATTGTCTTCCTGACCATACTGCTTCTGAATGAATAAATTCATTATCTGTTCAAGTTTAAAAAATTACGTTTTGAGTTTAAAAAAGAAGGGATTTAAAATACCCTTAATCACTCAAAATACATTAATAGCTTAACTGACAACAAAAGATCAAATTAAATTTAATACCTTTTTTACCCTAATTTAATTTTAATTTAAGAAAATTTTAATTACAGTAAAATTAGTTTGAATCAATGATGATGGTCATGTAAATATGTTCTTAAAATAATAATAATAAAAACCAATATAGCTAAAATGAAATATCATTGATAGGGTACACTTTGGGACCAGGGGAAAAAAAAAAAGATCTGTTATAAACAATTGTAAGACTACACCAGTTTTAGTAAAAAAGAATAAAGTATTTAAATAAATAAAACAAAATTATTAATTTAAAGCATACTTTAAATTATTTACATAAAGGAACAAAAGATAGGTAATACATAGGACATTATAGTAAAGAGATGCCCAGATGCTATAGTGGTTAGGGGAGCTGACTGTGATACTGAAGGTTTGAATTAAGGAGAAGGCATTGGTTGTAACTGTCCGTTCCTTCATAGGAGGTAAAGGTAGGTAACCTATTAGATGCCTCCAGAATAAAATGGGCCACCACTTCTGGTTTTAGAAGTGGCCAATGTTGAAAAAAGACAATATAGTGCCCACCGTAAAAAAAAAAAAAAAAAAAAAAAAAAAAAAAAATATCCAGTAAAGAAAAATATTTTAAAATTACTACTTGATTGTTTCCATGACAATTATTGATATGTCTATATTCAACATGACGTATACATGTGTGATCTTTTCACATTATTTCCTAAACAGGCAGCATAAAGATGAGTGGCAATATTATGCTTAAAATAAAATTGTATTGAATAACGTACGTTTAAATATGCACCTTATTGCTTTGCAGTCCCCCCCAATAAATACCTGAAACTCTACAAGTTAGATTTCAGATTTTATTAATATAATAAAAGATCAATCAGTATTTAAGTTTCAAGGATTCTAAATAATATAACGCAAAAGATATTATCAAAGTCATTGAATCTAATGTAAGAACAAATGCAAAAATTAACCTCTATATGCTTCGGAGGAACTTACATTTTCAGCTGTGAGGTTTTCAATACTCTTTTGAAGCTTTTCTACTTCTTCCTGAAATTCCTTTTGAGATAGTAATTGCTGAGCAACAGCTGATTCTTTTTCTTGTTCTATAGCGAGACATTTCTTGTTCAATTCTAAGATAAAAGGAAGCATATTAAAAAAAAAACTTCTAATGAAATTAAAATCACAAGATTATATAACACAAATTGACAAAGAAACATTTTTTTTGTTTTTTTTTTGTCAATAATGCTTTGAAAATTAAACTTACTTTTGAATACATTTTAGTGATTCCAGAAATGGAAAGAGTTTTTATTTATCAGCTGTATTTTTTGATAAGCAGTATACAACATAATCATCTTAAACACTAATACATACAGCTAACTTAAATAAAAAAAAAGTTCAAATGAAGCTTAAAATGTGTTATTTTACAACGTGGAAAAAATGAGGCCCAAATTTCAGAATTAAAGAAGTGAAGTGTGTAAAAGATAAAGTATCAAGAATTTGACAGTATGACCTGTATAGGCCTTCAAATGATTTTTCTTTTCAATAAAGCAGATAAATGAGTTGTTTCTTAAGTTGTGCTTTTACGACAGCAAGGATTTATTTTGACAGGAAGTTACTTAAATATATACTAATTGGAGAATAAAATGCAGTTAAGTAAAGAAGGGTAGTATTTTAGTTACTTATCATATAAATTCTCTGAATCATGTTCAAAAAGCTGACAAAAGGAATATTTAAAGATATTTTGATAAGACAGCTTACAACAGATTCACATATTATAAATTTGATTAATACAATCCTCATTTGTTTTAGTTGTGAAAAACTAATCTTAGTTAATAGAGACACTCTACAGTTTCAATAATATGATTGTAATATAAGTATAAAAGCTCATTACTTACATTCTAATATATTATTAATCATTTCAGATGTTTTACGAAAAAAATGGGGGTAATTTAACTTAGAAGCAAGGGAAAAGGTATAAAATATATTATTATTATTATTATTATATTTTATACCAGGATATTAAAGATGACAATATAGGATATACATACAATGAGATAATTATTGCCAAAACTATAAGAGGAATCCTCCTGGCGATTCTCGTTTTTGGAAGTGAAGTTTTTATGCACTGAATAATTTACTAATTTTATATAAGGTTGCATTTAAACATTATTAAGCTTGGCTTTAGAAATTCATTTTTAGCAACATATGATATTTATACTATGCAGTATGAGATATATAAATAAATTAGATTTTTAAGTTCTTTGGTGTTTGACAAAATGTATAAAAATCTTAATTCTATTTATGCATTCAACAAAAATATTATATTTAGCTTGCGTAAATATCTAATATATCGATCTATTATATTGCTCTATGATAACAATATCAGCATTTAAAGTTTACATAGGTACTGGATGTGCAAACAGAATTGTGATGGAGAAACTTTAGAAAGAAATTTCTCTTTTAAAAAATATTATATTTAGCTTGCGTAAATATCTAATATATCGATCTATTATGTTGCTCTATTATAACAATATCAGCATTTAAAGTTTACATAGGTACTGGATGTCCTAACAGAATTGGGATGGAAAAAGAAATTTCTCTTTAAAAAAAAACTATTTATTGGAATTTCTAGAACAGGAGCAAAAAAATGCTTTATAGAAGGAATTTTATCCAATGAAATAACCTTCAGCATCAGTCAGGCTTTAGATGACCTCAACAGAAAGAAAAGGTGTATTTATATTTTCAAGAACCGATCTTGAAATGCTTGGTACAGTCAAAAGTCGTTAATTCGGACACCCATAATCCGGACCTCAAAGCTACAAACTTTCTGCGCATGCGTCGCGTTGATGCATGGGCGTAAGACCCTTACGGCTGCGAATTTGCGTGTGCGCGTGTGCAAAATACGTTTATGAATGCGCGTTTAATGTATAACGGAGGGTATAAGCTAAGCTAAAATTATCTAATTATCTATTTCAGTTAATGTTGCAGATTGCGTTGTTCCTTAATCTTCGAATTTGATCCGGCTTATTATTTTTTGCAGAATGTTAGAGCAATTTTATAAAAGTAAACTTGAACTTTCGATTATGTCAAATAGAATTTCCGATTTATATTTACTAATATGTAATGGATCTACAAAGCGAAAGAATGTTTTGGAGTCCATTAAACAAAAAGTGGAATTGCTGCAAAAAATGAATAAAGGCATATCCTTTGTTTATCTAAACTTTAATGTTTGTTTATCTAAACTTTATTGTTTGTTTATCTAAAACTTTGTTTATCTTTAACGCAATGGTGCGCGCAATGAATTGGAAGTTGATCTGTCAGCACATCCTTATCTTCAGGGCAGATGTTTTTATTTTATTTGGCTTATAATTGCTTACTAAATGTAGTATTTCATTTCGATGTACTCCGTCTTTGATATGATTTAAATCAAATCACTCGTCATTATAATTCGCTTCCGATAGCGAAGAAAGTGACAGAGGTTATTGAAAACAAAAAAATTTTGATTGACAAATTAGTCGGTATTCTCGACACAGCAATTATAGGACTTGAACAGCAAACTTTGTAACTGAACAAGAAATTATGTCTGTTTACAGAATTAAAGAGAATGTATTATCACATAAAAAACGATGCAACTTAAACAACTTACATTGAAAAAATAAAGTAAACATATTGTGCGTGCGTACGGGTTCGTTATGAAGTGAATGCACAAGTCCGATGAAAAATGAACAAAAATTTATTATTATCACAACAAAAATGCTTAAATTTTCTCAAATTATCATGCAGTATTACAATATCTCACAGTAGTTATCTTTTAACTACTCAAATGTCCAATAGAACGTAATTCAAAACAGCTAAAGAACGCTAATCCGCGAATTCGCTACAATCAACAACAGCAGTTTTCTAAACAACAACAAACTAAGCAACTACTACAAACTGAGATGTTTTCCTCCTTTTATAAGATTTTAAAATCACGCGCTAGAATTTTCCAGTACTTTCTCGAAATCAAAAAGAGATATTTATTTATTTAATGCACGCGCGCTCTTGTATTTTCAATTTTCCGGCTTAGCTTTCTTTTAATATTCGTCACGCGCTGCACTGCGCGAGAAATAAAACCATTTAATTTATAATTGAACTAACATTAGCTTTTTAAATACCAAATTCGTAAACACTGCCCCCTTCCCAAGGACTGCACGTCCCGGGCAGTACAATCCCTGGACAGGAAGCTAAACTTACAACTGTGGCATAAATGCATTACATTACAATATCAAACAACATGAACAATAAATGCAATAACTAACTTAAACAAATCAAATGCTATCAAATACTAAATACAAAACAAATACTAAATACAAATCAAATACTAAATGCAAATCAAATACTAAATACAAATCAAATCAAATACACATTTAAAAACAAAAAAGACCATGGTCTGATACTATTTACAATTATTTACATTACGTACTATGGCCATAGTAATGAGCTAACCTGTCGTAATGAACGACTTTAGGTTTAGAGTTCGAAGACTTACGAATCCGAACCACGACGTCATTCAGCCTGTTTAGGACTGTGTACGGGCCATCCCAAGGTGACTGTAATTTCGGACAAAGTCCTTTCCGTCGAGTCGGATTCCACAACCACACCTTGTCTCCTTCGTGGAATTGATGTTCAGTAGCTCTTGTGTCGTATCGGGTCTTCATCTTCTCCGTCGCCAAGTTGACTCGCTCTCGTGCAAAGTTTGTGCATCACTTCAAACCGGGCCTGGAGATCTTGAATATATTCCTCAGACGATGAAGGAGCATCCGGAGGGCGGCCAAACAATAGATCACAAGGCAGACGAAGGTCACGACCGAAGAGCATCTGTGATGGAGAATAGCCGGTAGTCTCGTGGACAGCACTGCGGTAAGCCAGTAAAAAGAGTGGTAATTTCTTGTCCCAGTCCTGTTGGTTTCTGGAAACCACTAATGAGAGGTTATTAAGGATGGTTCGATTGAACCTCTCTACCATGCCGTCCGACTGGGGATGCAATGGCGTCGTTTGGAGTTTTGTCAATGCCGAGTAGTTTGCATAGTTCTTTGATTACTATTACTGCCGAGGTAAAATTCCTTCCCTGATCGGAATGTAACTGAAGAGGCACTCCGAACCTGGAAATCCAGTGCTGTATCATTACCTCAGCTACTGTGACAGCCTCTTGATCAGGAATAGGATAAGCTTCAGGCCACTTGGTGAAGTAATCAATGACAACGAGTATGTATTTGTTGCCATCAGCAGTTCGTGGCAGAGGTCCCAGGATGTCAAAGGCGATTACGTTCAAAAGGCGCCCCTACGTTGTAACGTTGCAGCTTGCCTCGGCTGCGTCTCCTCGGTCCTTTCCGACCTGCACAGGCATCGCAAGATCGGCACCACTTTTGCACGTCATCCTTTGCATTATTCCAGTAAAAAGCGCTCACGAACTCTCTGTAAGGTCTTCATTATTCCAAAGTGACCTCCCGTAGGGCTGTTATGTAAGTTCTTTAAGGACATCAGGAATGCGGGATCTTGGAAGTATCAGTTGCCATCGGAACGTCTTCCCATCATCCGATTCGAATTTCCGGTATAAGACGCCGTTTCGAATGTGAAGTGAATCCCAGAGTGCCCAATATTGTTTGGTTGTAGGACTACAGATAGAAATGTCCTGCCAGGTAGGTTTTCTGTTTGATGACTCCATTAAATCAATTATGGGTTTAATGTCGCGGTCTTCCAGCTGGTCTTTCCTGACTTCATCATCACTCCACGGTTCTCGATCAGCCGATGTTGATGTTGTAATTTGTCTTGCGACCGGAGTCAGCAGCTCGTATTTCGCTTCCACCCTGGAACAATATCGGCAGCTTTCTTGGCAAGGTCTTCTAGACAGGGCGTCGGCGTTTCCGTGTGATGATCCCTTACGATGACGGATAGTGATGTCATATTCTTGGAGTCTCTGTATATCCACCTGGCTATTTGACCCTCAGGATTCTTGAAATTTAAAAGCCAGGTCAATGATGCATGATCGGTGCGGAGCAGGAATTTTCTGCCGTATAGATAGTGATGGAACTGTTCTACAGCTTTGACTATGGCGAGCAACTCTTTCCTGGTGACACAATAATTCCTCTCC